TTAAGTGACTTTTGCGTCATCGGTCGCACGTTGTAGACGGTGTTTTGCCAGAAAATCGAATTTCCAAGCACATTCAACTAAGTACATAGTTTCATATATTCATTCAGTAACTATACTTGAGACCTTAGAACTTGTATCTCAAGGTGGGTGGCGCATTTACGTTGTGGTTGTCTATGGGCTCCAGTAACCACTTAACACCAGGTGGGCTGTGAGCTCGTCCACCCACCTAAGTAATAAAAAAAAACCGATAAAATACTAAATACTTAAATATACTAAATAATAAAATATGTCTTTAAAGATTTGTTGTGAATGTTTTAAATCAATTCGACCAAGACTAATATTTGCTGAATGTCAAGGCAAATCATACCACGGTTTGAAACACAGCCACGGTCTTAGAAGAGCCAACGCAAATGTCCCTTTAAAAACAGTTCTTCAGGAGACATACCGTGGCAAATCTGAATTCATTTAATTTGTTCTGAACAAAAACTGTAGAAAACGTTTTGTATTTGTTACTTATGATTCGAATAGATGAACTCTGGGATGCGTTATTTAGAAAAATAATTACAAAAAAACCTTTTTTTGTTACTCCTTTAGATCACGAATTTGCGAATTCGTCATGGCGACGCAATTATGCGTCGTCTTCTTGCCCGTATCCCAAGTTATTTTGCGGCAATGCAGTAATTCCTCTTATCATGCTGCATAGGGATTTGGCATGAGCTTTACTTTGGCCGCCTGCGTGACCTCAACCCTCATTGGGTTATTATATCTCTAGTAGTATATTCATTGAACTGTGCCATAGCAAAGGACTTTCCTGTTTCTTCATTTAGGTTTTCTTTTACTATAAACGTTTAAAACTAAAATGTGGATTTTCAGATTAAAAAAATATTAGATTTTATTCGTTATTCTATAACAGCGGTCGGGGAAGCGGGGTAAATTACCCTAAATAGGGTAAAATGAAATTTTGGGAGGTAAAAATGAAACTTTGGTGAGTAAAAAGTATATATTGAAGTGAAACTTCTTTAGAATCGTTGTGATTTCTAACTCGATGAAACGAAATGAAACGAAACGAAAAAAGAAGTCCATAGAGACACAAACACATAAATGTATAGGATTCAGCCGGCGAGAGAATGAGATAGAACACATTATTTGGAAACACAAAGTTCACGTGATTGACCCAGGTATTTTATTGTAGGCATCGTGTGCCGCGATTGGCTTGTCGTCATGTATTACTAGATATCACATTGATAAATTGAATAAATGATGTTTAAATTAAATTTTTGGTTATTGTTTTCTTTTCAAAATTATCATGGGGGCTATAACATGAAAGATGCTAAAAAGAAGCGATTTCGTTTTTTTTTCTTCTTCGCCATGGGGTAATATTAACTTACACAAAATATTTTTGGGTAATAATTAAAAAAGTTCCCCGATCGTTGTTCTATAATATGGTAATAATCCCGGACATAAATATTTCTACACAAATAATTGTTACGAGTTTTAAAAGCATTAAACGATTTTCCTATTCGTGACACGCCCACGCATTTGGATCTAATCCAAAATTGATTTAGGACTGTATTACAGTCGCAAACCTAGACCTATTTATTGGTACCCCAAAGCCACGACACGACTTTATATTTGAAACGCTAATTATAATATTTTGTATGTATGAAATAAATCTGTATGAATAAGACAAGTCAACTTCTATTGTTAGTAGTCTTTGAAGGTTCAGTTTTATTTCGGATGAAACTGTAAAATATCCAAACAAAGTTGTTTTTTTTTATTGCTTAGTCTTCATTTTAATTGCTCAGATATGAGCTTGTAGCGTACCACAACGTAAATACCGCCAGCCACTGTCAGACATAAGTTGTAAGCCTCATTTCTATAGTACAAGGGCTATCCCGCCCTTTAAACCTGCACGAGATACTGCTACGGGTCAGAAATATGCAGGATGATGGATACCAACCAACCATCAATTTTGGGCCTATAAGACGCCGGGGTTATAAGCGTCAAAGCTTATGTGTAAAAGGGCGTTAACAACGTTGAGCGGGGGTTTACCCCATTTCGGCGCCGTGCCGCCGCCGTCGAGCCGGGGGTCGGAGGAGGGCGTTTGTCCAGCTCCAGCCCCTATGAGGAGGCAGTCTCCTCCCGGTGATGGTCACGGGGCGACCTAAGGGGGTTGAGGCTGCGCCGCACGCTACCGTCACTCTAGCGCGCTGGCACCAGGAGGACGGGACGGCGCGTCGGCGGCTGCGGACTGCGATGNATTTGAATATAATCGTCTCCTTCAAAGAATACGGTTCAAAACCTGCATTAAATAAAGGTTAATACTTAACCTGCTATTTATCTAAGATGTCGTTCAGAAGAGTTTTGTGACTGCCAATGGAATACAAAGTCAATAATTCGTTTTTCTGATTTACCAATAATTGTCCAAAAGTCACATTGCCGGCTTTGATAATAGTCGACTCATTTGTTACTTATGACTAACAGATGAACTCTGGGATGCGTTATTGACAAAAATAATGACAAAAAACCGTTTTTTGTTACTCCTTTAGATCACGAATTTGCGAATTCGTCATGGCAATTCTTCGTCGTCTTCTTGCCCGTATCCCACATTATTTTGCGGCAATGCAGTAATTCCTCTTATCATGCTGCATAGCTTTACGTTTGACTGCCTGCGTGACCTCAACCCTCCTTGGGTTATTATATCTCCAGTAGTATTATCATTGAACTGTGCCATAGGAAAGGACTTTCCTGTTTCTTCATTTGGGTTTTCTATTACTATAAACGTTTAAGACTAAAATGTGGATTTTCAGATTTAAAAAAATATTAGATTTTATTGGTTATTCTATAACAGCGGTCGGGGAACCAGGGTAAATTACCCCAAATGGGGTAAAATGAAATTTTGGGAGGTAAAAATGAAACTTTGTGAGTAAAAAGTATATATTGAAGTGAAACTTCTTTAGAATCGTGATTTCCAACTCTATGAAACGAAAGAAGAAGTCCATAGAGACACAAACACATAAATGTATAGGATTCAGCCGGCGAGAGAATGAGATAGAACACATTATTTGGAAACACAAAGTTCACGTGATTGACCCAGGTATTTTATTGTAGGCATCGTGTGCCGCGATTGGCTTGGCGTTATGTATTACTAGATTTTTTGTTATTGTTTTCTTTTCAAAATTATCATGGGGGCTATAACATGAAAGATGCTAAAAAGAAGCGATTTCGTTTTTTTTTTTTCTTCTCCATGGGGTAATATTAACTTACACAAAATATTTTTGGGTAATAATTAAAAAAGTTCCCCGATCGTTGTTCTATAATATGGTAATAATCCCGGACATAAATATTTCTACACAAATAATTGTTACGAGTTTTAAAAGCATTAAACGATTTTCCTATTCGTGACACGCCCACGCATTTGGACCTAATCCAAAATTGATTTAGGACTGTATTACAGTCGCAAACCTAGACCTATTTATTGGTACCCCAAAGCCACGACACGACTTTATATTTGAAACGCTAATTATAATATTTTGTATGTACGAAATAAACCTGGATGAAAAAGACAAGTCAACTTCTATTGTTAGTAGTCTTTGAAGGTTCAGTCTTATTTCGGATGAAACTGTAAAATCTACAAAAAAAGGTTTTTTTTTTATTGCTTAGTCTTCATTTTAATTGCTCAGATATGAGCTTGTAGCGTACCACAACGTAAATACCGCCAGCCACTGTCAGACATGAGTTGTAAGCCTCATTTCTATAGTACAAGGGCTATCCCGCCCTTTAAACCTGGACGAGATACTGCTACGGGTCAGATATATGCAGGATGGTGGATACCAACCAACCATCAATTTTGGGCCTATAAGACGCCGGGTTTATAAGCGTCAACGCTTATGTGCAAAAGGGCGTTAACAGCGTTGAGCGGGGATTTACCCCATATTATATCAGTTCAACAAAACTTAATACCATTATAAAATTTATAAGCGCCGTCTATACGCGGGCTGATTAAAATCCAATACAATCATTAACTGGAAATTGTTTTATTATTGTGATTATTCTTGATATAAAACTGTGTAGCTGTTAGCTACTTAATTACTATTGAGCCGTGAGCTTTGATTCGATTAGTTTTAGATTAGACGTACTTAACATACACACACAAGACTTCCGAGTAGGTACACATGAGTCTGTAAATAGACAACACCCAAATTTAATTAATCTTTATATTAATACGTGAAGCAAAAACTTTGTACCCCTTTTTACAAAAATTGTACGGACGGAGAAGTATGAAATTTTCCACAATTATAGAGAAAGAGTGCAGAATGTTCATATTTTCTTAAATTATGAATAAAAAATACATTAAATCAATAAAATAAACATTACACACACTACCATATATTTGACACACACGCGTGCATACTATTTGTTTATTGTCAAACTTTTATTGCTTATGGTCAAATTGAGAATAGATTCATTGTTTGTCTTTATTAATATTTGTCTATAGTGTAGTCTTGGCGAAATCTGTTATTATAGGAGTAAAATAGTCTTTGACAATAGAATCATAATCGAATTTCGACTACCGGGAACAACTAGTTTGAGTATTTGTTGCTTTTATAGAAAATCAAACTAAAAAATAGAAAATAAATTTTAATAAATCTGAATTAAAAATAGTGTAAGAAAAAATGATTTTATTGTAAAAAAAGCGTGGGGTCAAAATCATGTTCAAAGATTCCATTACATACATACGTCTGAAGCTAATAAAAGCATATTAAAAAATACACACTCACAGAAACAGTTTGAATGCTTCTTTGGATTTCTTCAATAAAAACGTTTATTTTTTAAAAAACTTTTTTGTTGCTCTTGTAGGCAGACAGACGAGCATACGGCCCACCTGATGGTGAGAGGTTACCGCGCCCATGGACTTCAGCAATGCCAGGGGCAGAGCCAAACCGCTGCCTACCGCTAAATCGCAGAAAATATCTACATATAAATTTTTCGCGTTCCAGGCGTCTGGTGTGACAGTTTCGGACGCTTGCAAGACCACTTACGAGGAGATCAAGAAGGACAAGAAGCATCGTTACGTTGTCTTCTACATCCGTGACGAGAAACAGATCGACGTCGAGACGGTTGGCGAACGCAACGCCGAATACGAACAGTTCCTCGAGGATCTGCAGAAGGGCGGCACCGGGGAATGCAGGTGAGATGTGACGACTTCGTTGTAGACTTTGCTATGCTCCTAATGTTTTTTTTATTGCTTCGATATGTGGACGAGTTCACAGCCCACCTGGTGTTAAGTGGTTACTGGAGCCCATAGACATTTACAACGTAAATGCGCCACCCACCTTAAGATATAAGTTCTAAGGTATCAGTATATCGACGCTTGAAAGGCAAACGTAACTAAGCGATAATAACTGCTTTGTACATAAATAATAGGCAATAACCATATTCAATGCGCAAAAAAATATATATTTCTAGGTCTATTAAAATCATTTCAATCCTATAGCTAGATTCGTTAAAAAAGATTTTTTTTCAGGTATTTCAACTTTAAATTAGTCTGCTGTAAAGTTCACGCATTGTCGCTTAGTCACGTTTGCCTTTCAAGCGTCGATATGTAGTTACAACGGCCGCCCCGCCCTTCAAACCGAAACGCATTACTGCTTCTTCACGGCAATGAACGCCCAACATCAAACTGGCCATATACCTTCGATGATGGCAATAAACGATACCTTCCTTGAGTATTTTACACTAGTGCAAATATAGATTTAAAAAAGTATTTGAAGACGCGAGTGGATGAAGGGGTAAGATACAAATTGTTAATTTTGAGAAAACGGGCAACAAGCTTTTGTTACTTGTACTTTTTCTTCGTACATAAGTCCTTCATCACATGCAATTTCTAAAAATAGCCTTTAAAACCCGTATTTTTAAGGTCTAATGAGGTTTTTAGGCACATAAAACCAGTTCATTCAATGTAAAAACTCAAAAATCTTAAAAATGCCACTTGTCCCCTTCACCCACTCATGTCTTCATTTCTAACATGGTGTCGGAAACAGCTCAGCTCACCTAATCATACTAATATAAATCACAATGACTACAAATAACAGGCAGACAAATTGAGTGTATTTGCTGTGTAAATATGGGTTATGATAAATATAAGGTAAATGCTGTGCAGTCAATGAAAGCTGGGTGATAAATATCCGCAATTAAACCTGCAAGAAGAACTGATGATTTTTTGATACATATAGATCATTTAAATAGTAATTTATTACTGGTGGTAGGACCTCTTGTGAGTCCGTGCGGATGGGTACCACCACTCTGCCTATTTCTACTGTGAATCAGTAATGCGTTTCGGTTTGAAGGGTGGGGCAGCCATTGTAACTATACTTGAGACCTTAGAACTTATATCTCAAGGTGGGTGGCGCATTTACGTTGTGGATGTCTATGGGCTCCAGTAACCACTTAACACCAGGTGGGCTGTGAGCTCGTCCACCCATCTAAGCAATAAAAAAATTAAAAAAAATTATAACTACATATATTATTATTGCCACACAGATATGGCCTGTTTGACTTTGAATACACGCACCAGTGCCAGGGCACGTCGGAGGCTAGCAAGAAACAGAAGCTCTTCCTGATGTCGTGGTGCCCGGACACCGCCAAGGTCAAGAAGAAGATGTTGTACTCTAGGTAAGAAATTGACCCACAAAACTGTGCATATCATTTATTGTAGGAACCATTCTCTTTAGTAAGTAGGTTGAGCACAAATACTTGTAGTTTTAGTAGTTTTAATGTGTCAAGTTTTTATGCATATTATTATAACACATAAATGGGAAGTAAACGAAAATGTTTTTAGCTTTATCCTGAAATTTACCTTGCCATCAAACCATTAGGAAATGTTGACTTTCAGTTCCAGTGGGTTTGTGATATTTAAAAAAATATATATCTGTGGTCACTATTCTAAATATTTATGGTTGTGGTTTTAAAAATATTCTTTGTTATAATGAGAAAAAAGACCTTGATTGAAGAATTGTTGTATTACTTCTATATGACAAATTGAATGATGAATGAATTTGATGCAGTTTGTAGCCTTTGTTCTGTAATGGATGAAAAGTCAGGGAGGCGATTTACTTGATTGTTAACTTTTATTTGGTAATTGAATTATAAGCCAACCTTAAACCAAATATTGAATTCTAACCCACAGAAAGTTTTAATCAGTTTACTGTTCATAGAAAATTTAACCAAACATGTCACTTTAATACATTAATTGTTATGTAATGTCTGTATCTATATATTTATGTATGTAATCTGATATTACAATATAACTTTAAACAACTTGAAGACTTTCTATAACTTGGAAATTTACATACGCTTGGAGGATCAATGACAAAATATTAATTTGATTTGGTCATGATCACCAGAACAAAGGATAATCTAATATTTTTTTCAATTCAGTTCATTATTTCAGTATGCTTTCTTCAGTTCTAAAAGTACATCGACATTATTTTTAGCGTTGACATAGTGTGTAATTGAATGATTGCAAAATTTTTATCATAATTTCAACATACCGGCTTACAATAATAACACAGGGCGACACGATAAGGCTGTGATAATATCAAGCCAGTGATATCATTTCGAGATCCAATTGACAAATTTATCATATGTTTGCAATCTATGTTTATTGTATACCTAACTGAACAAATAATCGATTTATTGGCGTAGAGAGGAGTGGCTTATTTAGAAATTAAAAAAAATGTACATTTCATGAATGAGCTGTTGACATATATACTTGGTGTTTTTTTTAATTTTATGACCTGGTAACAGAGATCTTTAGGTCATATCTTATTTAGAAAATGTTCATTACTTTGGGGTCACTACACTACACTTCGCTTGACTAAATTTTGTCATTTAAACTGTTTGAATTGTATTTTTTATATAATTATAAATGGGCTTATAGGATGTTGGATCTTTTAGTAAAAAGTTAAGTGGCGGCGGGCGGGAGGAAGAAACACTTAAATGCATTGGTATCACGTCTAAGTTCACTAGCCAGCACAAGTCTTTGAATTAAGAAACTTTGGCAATCGAAAATAATGACTGGTGTTAAGTGATTATCGGAGCCCATAGATATTGTAATGTCAACTTCATAACCCACTTTAGACTTGAAGTTTCAATTGTATAGTATAATGTCTATCCGTACACATCAAATAAGAAAAAATGTACTGTACTATTTTGAACATGACTGCTTTTCCAAAATGAACTGATACCTCAAACTCTTATAGCCAAATTACTTTAAGAATCCTTTAACTAGTTATGTAACTGCAACCATTTTGTAAACTGTGATTGGTTAAGTTATTTTGTATGTAAGTCGATGATATCGTAACTCCTCTGGGAATCACTGGTTTTGGAGTCTTGTAAATCGGTATATCTTTTTTATTTACCACATGTTCTACTGGCATATTTGCAATTCTACACTATATAAGCATCATATAATTGTATTGTGTGTATATGTTATTGTAAATGTACACTCTTGGGAAATGTACACTTTTACGGGTAAATACGCACATTTGCCAAAAAGTTGGGTATATGTGAATATAATGATATTATTATGTACATTTCCCGGCAAATGTGTACTCTTGCCTTCACGTTTTGGTAAATGTATACTATTACCTTCATGTTTTAAGAAAAGTTACAGTAAATACAAATAAATTAATAATGTTGTTTCAGTAAAAAAATATTTATTTAAATAAACATAATACAAAAGGCTTTAATGACGAAAATTATTTTAATAAAAAAATGTAAATGACAAACAAAACATACTTTTCTTTGCATATTATATTATAATATGTCGTATGTTAGTTAATAGCACTTGCAATTTCGTATTTTGTATGCTATGCTCACATTTACCAGAACGACAAGGTCATTGTGAATTCAATGTACATTTGCCTTCTTTGAAATTGTAAATGTTTAGTTGAATGCACATTACCCAAACGTGGTGGCAAATGTGCACATTTACCGGAAAATGTGTACACTTGCCGCAATATCTACTCTTTGTGTTGATTTTCTAATTTGTGTTTTACTTATTGGATATTAAAATAAACCGTTCGTTATTTCAGCTCGTTCGACGCTCTGAAAAAGTCCCTTGTCGGAGTTCAGAAGTACATCCAAGCGACCGACCTCTCGGAAGCGTCTCAGGAGGCCGTCGAAGAGAAGCTCCGCGCCACCGATCGCCAATAAACAGCATTTACACACGAGCTCGCGACGAAACCGAACCCGCTCTCCGACACTCCTGCCCTGACGACACGCGGCCACGACACCACTAGCCGCTTAGTATTATTACAAAGGAAAACGAATAGTATTGATATGATTTATTTTACTGGTGGTAGGACCTCTTGTGAGTCCGCGCGGGTGGGTACCACCGCCCCCTGCCTATTTCTGCCGTGAAGCAGTAATGCGTTTCGGTTTGAAGGGCGGGGCAGCCGTTGTAACTATATGGGTGGCACATTTACGTTGTAGATGTCTATGGGCTCCAGTAACCACTTAACACCAGGTGGGCTGTGAGCTCGTCCAACCATTTAACCAATAAATAAATAAAATGAGACTTAAAAAAAACCCGTGTGATATCCATGACAGTTTGAATTGTTCGTTTTATCATCATTGCCTGATATGAAACATTAGAACTTCAGTATTGTGGTGTGGGGGTGGAGAGATTGGTTTTATTTCGTTGCCCGTCGCGTGGATTCTTTTTTTATATCATTTCAATTTGAAGCTTTGCTGTCAACTGATCGAGGTAGGGTCATGTAATTGTACATTTTACTATAAAACCGACCTCATAGTTAAGGGATCTTATGTAATAATTTAAATTATACTAATTAAATATATATACATATATATTTTTTCCTGTAACTAAATAAGTTAAGCTCAAATTCAGTCAAGTATGTTGTTTTTTTTTTTAAATACAAAATACGCCGGTCGGCCTCTAGATTTGTAATATAAAGAAGGATTTTTATACTTTAGTTTTCGTTTGGAACTCGCTAACTTAAGCTTGTCGCTATCGAGCGACGGATAAGTATTTTGTAACCAATTTATTCAGAAATACACTCGATATAAGTGATTATTGGTCGTTTTATTTATTTATCTCTTTAATTTCAAAAAGTTGCCCTATCTCATGCAGTCGCGTTACCTGCTATCGACTGTTAGGATTAATGCTCACTGTGACCATCTATATATTAGTACGTGAAGCAAACATTTTGTATCGCTTTTTACGAAAATTGCGCGGACGGAGAAGTATAAAATTTCTCACACTTATAGAGAACATAGAGAAGGAGTACACAATGCTAATGTTTTTTTTAAATAATGCATAAAAAATACATTGTATTTGACACAACACGCATGCAATATGCATACTATGTTTATCGTCAAACTTTTCTTACACCGGTCACTCACATGCGCACGAATACGCAAACCCGCAAGTGTAGGACGACATTTGCAAATGATTATGCGAAGTTTTCGCTGTATTCGTAGTTTTCCAAGCTGTGTCGGTTTTTTAACAGACATCAAAGCGCGCGAACCGCGATCCTTAGCGTAGTCTCCCACACATTCGTTTGCCCAGTTGCGCCGACGATTGCGAAGGTAACGGACGTATACTATACGCCATATCCATAGTTCGTGACGTCTACTGTGTAGCGTATCTTCATCAAAAGAAATCCCATAAAAACAGCGTGGCTGTTAATGATGTCTGGCAAAGAATTCAACTCTTTTTCTCTTCAATGTTCTATTGACGAATTAAAAAGGAGGAGAAATTCGTGAGACATTCGTAAACAAGTGTAGGAGGAAGCGCAAACGGGTTCGCAAATTGAGTATGCGAACCCATTTGCACAGCCGCTAGGTTTGCGAATGAATGTTTGACGGCCCTTCACATGCGCGCAAACATTCGTACAATGTACGAATATTTGCGCGCATGTCAGTGGCCGGCATTATTGCATACAGTCTGGTCAAATTGAGAATAAATTAAATATTGTTTGTCTTTGTTAATATTTGTCAAAAGTGTAGTCTTGGCGAAATCGGTGATTATAGAAGTATAATAAATATTCTTTGACAAAAGAACCATAATAATGTTCAAACTTATAATTTCAATTAATTATAGTCGAATTTCGACTACTGCGGGACCGCTAGTCCATGTAAATGTGTAGTCTATCATAATGGCCTATTTCTGCCACAATGCAGTCTTGCGACCCAGTTTGAGGGTTGGGGCAGACTTTAACGCGACGGAGTCTTCCACTTCATATATCAAGGTCGGTGGCATACACGTGATGTCTGTAACTCTTGTAACAATAGGGACGTGAATTTGAACCCAATAATATAATAAATTAATAAATTTAAGTTGAAAATACTGTAAAAAATGCGTGGGGTGCTTTTTAATATATTATTGAAATAATTCTTCTACTCATATCTGTCAGAAAACTATTTATAACTAATAACACCACACCATGGAGCATTTTTTCAAACAATTTATTTATTTTTCATTTTTTAGTTGCATTTAAATTTTTTAATATATTTTTTTTTAATTTTGAATTGTCATCGGTCCTCGATAAATCTACAAAGTTTGAATTAAATCTGATCGTTTAAAGTGAGTCAGTTACAAACATACATACAAGCTTCGATCAACAATAGTAACTAGATAAAGGGATACGTACAAAATTAAAGCAAAAACTGTCCGCGTGAATATATACTTATATAGCTACATTCGTTTACTAACAAACGGAGAAAAAAGTTTTGAAACACTTTTACGTTCAAACTAATAACAACTATGGCACCTAGTAATAAAGTCACAAATCTCCAAAACATTATCTAATACTTACGATCATTCGTCACATAAAACGAGCAAAGCAATAAATTACTCCTGTCACTTACCAATAAAAAGACATATTTTAAACAACTTTTAATGTTAAATCAATCTTAAGGTGCAACAAATAAAGTAACTTTTCCCTTAATTGCTCTGAGAACTAACATCGTTTTGCTTTATTTATTTTTGCTTCTTGAAATGCCGATTTGTATTTACTACAGGAGGTAAGGGAGTCGCGCTTAACACTAAAATAATTTATTAATGAATTAAAGTAAAAGTTTAGTTGTTTACTTTTTATGTTTTGGAAATGTATGTTTGTTAGTATCTATACATTACTTATTATTTTATTAGCGTTACGTTTTTGTGTAATATATNTTTTTCCTGGCAAAGTTATCTCTAAGAGAGGAGACATTTCCTGGCCTCCACGTAGTCCAGATCTGACCCCGATGGATTTTTTTTTGTGGGGCTACCTTAAGGCTAAAGTATACGACACAAACCCGCGGTCAATTGAGGCCCTAAAAGAAAACATCCGCAGAGAAATGACAAGCATTTCAGCAGTGACGTGCCGCGCAGTCATCGACAATTTTAGACGTCGTTTGCAAGAGTGCCGTGATCGCAACGGATTACATTTAGGAGATGTTATTTTCAAAAAATAATTCCCGTTTTTTAAGCTTTTTATGTAAATAAAAATTTAATTCATAATGTAATTAGTTTTATTTTAATAAAATTTTTTTCATATCAAAGGACTTATGGGCCACCCTGTATAATAAATATTCTTTGACAAAAGAACCATAATAATGTTCAAACTTATAATTTCAATTAATTATAGTCGAATTTCGACTACTGCGGGACCGCTAGTCCATGTAAATGTGTAGTCTATCGTAATGGCCTATTTCTGCCACAATGCAGTCTTGCGACCCAGTTTGAGGGTTGGGGCAGACTTTAACGCGACGGAGTCTTCCACTTCATATATCAAGTTCGGTGGCGACATACACGTGATGTCTGTAACTCTTGTAACAATTGGGACGTGAATTTGAACCCAATAATATAATAAATTTAAGTTGAAAATACTGTAAAAAAAAATTTTGTAAAAAATGCCTGGGGTGCTTTTTAATATATTATTGAAATAATTCTTCTACTCATATCTGTCAGAAAACTATTTATAACTAATAACACCACACCATGGACCATTTTTTCAAACAATTTATTTATTTTTCATTTTTTAGTTGCATTTAAAAATTTTTTTTTTTTTTTTTAATATTGAATTGTCATCGGTCCTCGATAAATCTACAAAGTTTGAATTAAATCTGATCGTTTAAAGTGAGTCAGTTACAAACATACATACAAGTGAACCTAATAATATAAAGCGTGTAAAAACGATTGGTTTGGCTAAAATGATGCTCATCCTAGTATCGAGGTTATTATTGGATTGATATATTATTATATTATCAGTGTATCGTTGTTTTTATCGTCCTTGTATACAGACGAGCATACGGCCCACCTGACGGAGAGTGGTTACCGTCGCCCATGGACCTCTGCAATGCCGGGGACAGCCTAGCCGCTGCCTACAACATAGTAGGTATCCTCCGTAAGCTTCGTTAGAACAACATAAAAATAAAGTTCATGAATTAATAGCATTGGTTATTTTGGTTAATCTTGCCTGCCCTAATGGACTCTAACGTGTAGGTAATGACATAAATAAAACTGAAGTTTTCAAAACGTTTATTAAAATTCGCAGCAATAGTTTTGCTAAAATTCTTAATAATCACATAGAATGTTGCTTTGTTAGTAGGTATTATGTAAAACGCAAGTTTCGTTTGATTAAAACTAATTTTTGTTTGTACTTACAATAATAACCTAAAAAACATTAGTTATTATAATACCACATTTTTGAGATCACACAAGTAGGTAACAAAAATACAAAAAGAATCTTTAAATGTTAAATAAAACTAAACTATCATCTTAATTGCTCGTAAACTGGAACAAAATGATTATAGATAAAAACTACTTCAATAGTAAATACATATAAATGATTTGTAATTTCACTTCCACAATATACTTTACATGGGATACCCACAAGTGACGGAAAAATCGGTGAATAAATGTAAAAAAACATACAACTGATAACAAACGCACATGTTTTAAAAGATATTAAAAAAAAAAAAACCTACTGGATTTCATATCAAGCACAGAATAAAAAAGATCCGAAACGTTTTCATTTTAGTACCTACACAAAATTTAGTAGACATAGTTTAGTTTCCAAAAGACACATTTCACTTAGATAGCTAATGTCTAAACAGAGCGTGGAGCTTGTATTATTTATCTTGAGACGAGAATTCACGATATCTGCTTACATCTAGTTTCGGTATTCAAGGTTTAGTTTTAAATAGTAATTCTTTCAAACTGTCTTCAGAGACTAATTTTTTAAAGTAAAAAAACATTAATTTCGTTTATTAATTATTGCGAATTGTTAATTCTATTTTATATGAATAAGCACTAAAAAAACCTAGACATAGATGTGCCCATCGGATGTGCCTATGTCCTTGAAGAGGTTATGCGGATAAGTATTTCGGCTCGATTTTATACCTTCTGTATTATTTTGTGTTCATTGCCATATTTATGACAGCCACATTACAAGGCTACGCTGATTTTTTTAAAAAAATCCTATAATGTAACCGAAGATCTACGAGGGAGCATCACTCACACGATAAATTATCCTTCCTTACTCTTTTTCCCCCCAAACCTTCCAAACCAAAATTTCTGGTGAATTGCTTAAGTCACTTTTTTATGTTCGCAAACTTTACGCACGTACCTACGCAGTTTTGTGTCACCGGTTCTTGCCTTTGAACTATATTTTCTCTGAACCCAATTTCCACACATCCACAATTCATATCCAGAGAGAGAAAAAGCAAAAAAGATACATTCCATTCATTATATTTGTCTTTGCTTACAATATCCAAAGCTAAAATGCTTCTAATTAATCTAATAGGTCATTGAATTTGATGCTTTTATAGTCACGAATACTGTATACATAATTTAAGGAAAAACTTTTGTCATTTCTTTAAAGCTTAGTTGGTATTAGAAATGATTATTTATATTTTGTTGTTGCTTATTTTTTTACACTTCGCCACATTCCAATTCGTTCCAATTAACGGAAATAAATTATTCTCTACTATTATCCCGAAATAGAACTCACTTTTATACGATATAAATAGAATTGTCTCTGTAATTCACATAGATATTTTATAATGAAGATTTATTGTCAACAACTTCGGAACTATTGAGTAAAACTGATTTAAAATATTCAAAATTTCAAACAGCACTAAAGAGTAGAATTTAGAACAAAGTCGACAAGGCGCCATAATTATCAATTATGATAATTTCCAAGTAACTACTACTACCTAAACACGAATTAGAAACATTATTTCAAAAATTCAAACAGTGATATCGAACATCTATACGTAAATAAATCAATAGTTATGTAGGCATTTTAGGCGACCTATCCGCCGGCTCTTTCCGATTTATTATTAAATTTAAAAATCAACCTCCCATTTGATAATAATTTGAAACTTTTTTTTATTGCTTAGATTGGTAGACGAACTCACAGCCCACCTGGTGTAAAATGGTTACCGGAGCCCATAAGTTCTAAGGTCTCAGTATAGTTACAACAGCTGCCCCGCCCTTCAAACCGAAACGCATTACTGCTTCACGGCCGAAATAGGCGGGGCGGTGATACCTAGCCGTGCGGACTCACAAGAGGTCCTACCACCAGTAATTACGCAAATTATAATTTTGCGGGTATGATTTTTACACGATGTTATTCCTGCACCGTTGAAGTCAATCGTAAACATTTGTCAACTCGAATCAAATATATAGATTACTTATTATATTTGCATCTAGCTTTTTTGAATTAGTTACATTACATTCGCTTTTACAGGAGGTTGACCTATTCCGAGAAATTACAGGAAGTTATTTACTAAATACCACGAACGATTAAAATATATCGTAAAATCCCCAATAATCACATAAATCTTATTTTTAATTTTAATCATTCTTATATAGACTAGAATAATGAACATAGTTTTTTTTTGGTGAGCGTTGAAAGTCTAAATACGACATATCGACAATGCTCTTAATACATATTGTTTCAATTCATATCGTCACAGGAACTGTTAGTTGGCAACACCAGTACTTGTTTTTTGGGCAGATCAACATTTTTCACCGAAACACTGTTTCGCGACAGTATTAGTACCAATTTTATGTTGTTTTTTTTTTCTAAATACTAATTGTGCTAATAGTGTCCGCAGGTGCTGGAGTTACGTTTGGCTGCTGTACAGTCGGGTCCAAAAGTGGAATGCTGTCAGTTGTCCTGAAATAAACGAAATAGAAATAGAATAGAAACAAATCAAACAATCCAAAAGACAAACGGTAGCATCGTCTATTTGCTATAATTGGAAACTTAACTAACCATAATTGAATTATCAAAACAATGTGTGTTGCATTACTCATTACTGTGATGCAAGTAAAAATAAATGGAATTAAAACCAAAAGGAGAGTCCCTTTATGAGCAAACCGAACACAATACAAATTTTATTTTAGTTATTTTGGTTTGGATATTAGATAAAAGTAAATAATATTATTGTAATAATCCTTGATACGTGTGTGGCAATTTAAAAATAAATGGGACGTCGTGATGTTAAAAAAAAATACAGTTAAAAAAATTGAGGTCGAACTGTTTAAATTGTTTTAAAAACAAGGTGAAACTATTACTAATGACAAATTATTAAGCTATTGCATAGCAATTATCGCGGGCGTTGAGCGCAGCGACCGAATCAAGAAATTCCGTAACGAAAATAAAACCTAACACACCCTACTGCGCCCACCATGTAGCTCGCGTTCAACATATTCACACGTTGCGCTTGTGCAGTGTTTGTGAATAAGCGCGCGGCGTGAGGTCGCACTGCATGCGCATTATGAAAATTCTGCCCATCTCTCTCTCGCGCGGTCTAGCTTATGAGTGTGAAGGGGACAGTTAATGTTTTGCTTTTGTTAATGTTTATAAATATAGTGAGGTCTTATTTTATTATTCTTTTAATATTAAATTATAATTGCATAAGTTGATAAAAAATGATACGCTTAACCGCGGCAGTCCCCGAGTGCCACACGTGTTTTTTTTAGATAGATAACCGCCACCAGGTATCATTGTCTTCTGATTATTAATTGGCAACACCGAAGGAATACTAAGAGCTATGGAGGGTAGAAGGAGGACCAGTTCAGTGTATTAAAAAAATTCCGCTTAAAGGGAGCTAATGGCGTCATATTAGTAAGTGGAAAGATTAAAAAAATAGCGCTATAAAGTACCACGCTTCAACCCAGCACACTTCGCTTTGTTTAAAACTGCTACATTCATATCATTTCCACTAGCGCTATTTCGGTGAGTCTTCCAGCTGTTTTCAGATCGACTCTTTATCAACTTGTCCCTTATACAGGACAGTGTTCCTTACTTATATCCTCAATACATAGAACCAAAACAAAAACATTAATACAATCCTTGACTCTGAAACGCGGAAATATTAGCTCATATGACTAATCTGTGGTAAACGCGCAATTCTGCTAAAAGTTCTTTCAAATACATGCCGGTATGTATGGGAGTATGGGAGTCTAGCTTGGAGATAGTCATTATGACACATCAGAGTCACGCGGGTGACAATTCCCGGTTGAGGCATTATGTGCCGACATCAACTACGAGTTTATTTAGATAAATAAATATAAATTACCTTGTTCTTGTTAGGGAAGGTTCAATAACAACGTCTTCACAACATGGCGGCACGGGAGTCTTCTGCTGTACTATAGGCAAGGTAGTACATATAGTACCAGTCAAGTACATGTACTGAAATTGAAAGGAATAAACCAAAAAATTGTAGTAAAAGTTTATGTATTGTGCTTAGAGAGGCAAGCATCTTTCACTGCCAATCTGAGGACATGTGTGCTTAGTGCGAGTTTTTTAACGTTCTCGATAGCGTAAAAGTTAGCTCATATTTGTATGGAATGGGATCGTTTGCATACGTTTGCCGCCAGGGGCGCTGTTCCAACTGCATACAAAATTGGATTAACTTTTACGTTATCGAGAACGTTAAAAAACTCGCACTAAGTACGCTAGACCAGCGACCCTCAAACTTTTTTACTCAGCGACGCGCCCTAACGTACTTTTTATACATTCGAAACGACTTTGCATACATTCCATGCAAAATGTTTAACAGCCGAAGTGTACATAAATAAAACGAGTTTTAAGGCTTAAAATCGTGTGTTTTCCGAGGTGATTAATTTATGACTTTACGAACACTTAACGGTTTTCGTTGAAACGTACGAGATTAAACCATAAAAAGTAATAATATTTATATCTACGACATGTAAACACCGAAATACATTACTGTGGCAAATTTTATGTTTATTAAGATTACAATATGTATTTATGAATTTTTTACACCATTGTTCTATTAGGAGTACTTGTACAGTTACCGACAAGTAAACAGTTATCTCACATGTACACCAGAAATGCAATTCTCTAGGTCACTTTAGATAAAAAATTCGTGTTTGAAAACCTCACTTTCACTTCGCTTTAGGAAGACCGAAATGGAACTACAGTGAATAATTTCAAGTACCTAATTCTTAAAATGACTTACCATAGACACAATTAGTATTAGATAAATCGTCGGGGTCGACCAGTGAGTGGCATTCTCTATAGCAACAACGCCCATAACCCAGTTGATGGCGAAAAATGGCTCCAAAATCAAACATAAATTCAAATATGTCTTCAATTCATTGCCTTCCGTGTTCCAACTCCATTTTAACGAAATGTTATCCATATACAGCATATTTAACAGGCTTTTGTCCTGTATTGTTTTATTGGAAGCGGAGCGCTAAAAGAAATTACCGAAAACAACCTTTAAACTCTTATAGAATACTATATATCTTTCTTATAGAACAAAATAATTTTCAATTACATTTTGTCGTGTTCAATCAAAAACAAAAAAAATCTACCAATTCTACAAAAAAAAATTATAAAGTCTGACAACACTCACCTCAATCTGATTTTCACCGGCTTCATCGTTCGCTACTCCGTTATTAGAATAATTATAATCTTCTTCGCTGGCATTGTAGTCTTTATCGAGAGTTTCCGAACTGTCCGTATTCTTTCTACTGCTGCTCGGCGTGTAAATATTATCCAAGGTTTCAATACTGGCATTCTTATCGCCGTTTTGATCATTCTTTGGCCAGTTCGTAATGTGGTGGTCCACGAGTTCTTGTATCTTGGCCGTCAGCATTTCCGCTTGTTTTTTATTCACGCTCTTTAGGCCTAGTATCACGATGCCAGTATTAATTAAGATGAGAATCATCGCTGGTACCATAAAGCCCATGACCATGCCTTTCTCGATAGACATCCAGCAGTAATGCTTTATTTCGTAATGTTCCATTGACAGGGCGTAGTTGAACTGCAAATGAAAATTTTACATCGATTTTAATCTAACTGGTGTTTTGGAAAATTCAACATTTTTCTTTTTATATATGGCCCGCAGTGTAACACAATTTTAATCAACGCGACACGAGAGTTCAACGATCTCGTAAATAAACAACGGAGGACAGTGTAAAGCAACGTAAGAGGCACATAACCAATAGAGAATTACAGAAGGTCAAAATCTCAATAGGTATCTTCAAACAGTGACGAACTATAGCTTGGCGACTGACTAAAATAGCATAATGGTACATCCCCGCGTTGGTTCAGAACATGTTCGACTATTCGGTATTCGAGATATCAAATAGAGGGTAGGTTTAGTTGATACATAAACTGAAATGATTTATAACGACGGACGTATGACTGCGAATTAGGTAATAGTTAAGTTAAATTTAGGTAATAAAATCTTAAAAATGAGGTCACAGAGTTGAATTTCCTAAAAACGCACTAGATAGATTTTTTTATCATCAATTTGACTCGATTGAATTACTAACAGTTCATTATCGTCATCGAAGGCTTTGCTGTTTCCGTCGCTCGCAAAGCCAATACGCGACTAACCGCCTACAGCTAAATCCTGTTTACTAGCGAAGTCGTCGTGGCCTAAAGGATAAGACGTCCGGTGCATTCGTTGTTGCGATGCATCGGTGTTCGAATCCCGCAGGCGGGTACCAATTTTTCTAATGAAATACGTACTTAACAAATGTTCACGATTGACTTCCACGGTGAAGGAATAACATCGTGCAATAAAAATCAAACCCGCAAAATTATAATTTGCGTAATCACTGGTGGTAGGACCTCTTGTGAGTCCGCACGGGTAGGTACCACCACCTTGCCTATTTCTGCCGTAAAGCAGTAATGCGTTTCGGTTTGAAGGGTGGGGCAGCCGTTATAACTATACTGAGACCTTAGAACTTATATCTCAAGGTGGGTGGCGCATTTACGTTGTAGATGTCTATGGGCTCCAGTAACCACTTAACATCAGGTGGGCTGTGAGATCGTCCACACATCTAAGCGACAAAAAAAAATACTACCCTCCAAATAAAACCAATATGCGATAACAACAAAGAAGAGGGTATGATCACAGAACTCACCATAACAACTACGGCCGGGACGCCGTAAGCCAGTAGGTAGTTGTACTTGAGAGGCAATAGGGTATCGCACGTGCAATATTCAGCGACGGCCGCGGCCAAGGCTACGATCCACATCGCGCAGGTTATATGCGTGTAGTGGAGCAGCAGGGCGATCCTCTCGCATTGAGAAGGCGAAGACACGCCCTAAAACCATAGATAATACGCATATTAGAGACATAAATTAGTTATAGATAAGCAACTCAAGCACTCAACTAAAATGTTTACGGGCGTCGGCCACTAGATGGCTTCGCTTCGCTTAGTTTCACATTGCTCCTGTAGATGACAGTAACATTTTACCTATCCTATAATTTATTTTTATTAAAGAATTTTCACGCGAAAACGATGACAGCTCCGAGACGTTTTCACTCTTCCGAACCCAGACAACGAATGTGCTTCGATACGACTCGACTTTGCCGAAGCACACTACTCGAAGTGATCCGATGTTTGACTAGTAGTTGCGGCTTGCATCCACTAGATGGCATCCGGACACGACACGATATTTAAATATGTATAATATGTATATTTATACTATACGTGTTATAATATATCGCACTATATATTTACACTATACGTTACTATGTATTTGTATTTTAATTTATATTTCAATTCACCCACCCTTACTTACCTTGAATGGCCGAAACTTACCTCACGTTCAATTGACTGGTCGATAATTTCTTAGACATTAAATTTGGTAATGTAAATATCAGATGAACAGTAGTTAATAAATAAATAAGCATTTTAAACGTGACGATGAAGTACTAAAGCGGGTGAACTACAGTCCGAATAGAAGAAAAAAAAGCTAGTTACCAAAACAGCCTGTATATAAATGAGAGTGCAGACTCCTAGACAACAGCACAGGTTGATGTTGATAGGATACAGTTTACTCTTCATTCTGAATTCCGCCGCGTAATTGCTCCACATCTGCCACATTACCGCGCCGGCCAGTATTATTACTGCTATAGCACTTGTTACGTAGATCTGTAAAATGAAACGTCATTAGTATTTTATTAGACACTAGCGACCCGCCCTCGCTTCGCTTCGGAAACATTAAATTTTATTATTGTTAGCTGAGTCCCACGATGTTACCCGCGGTTACTGTCGTACCGCGGGTGACGCCGCGAGGAAAAGCTAGTTTAAAAAAAGTAGCCTAAGTTACTCCTTATATCATCAGCTACCTATCAGTGAAAGTCCCGTTAAAATCAGTCCAGCCGTTCCAGAGATTAGCCGGAACAAACAGACCGACAGACAGACCAAAAATTTTAAAAATTATATTTTGGTATATGTACTGTGGTATACATACTTACGCATTTAGTAAAAAGTGGTTATTTTATTATTACAAACAGACACTCTAATTTTATTTATTTGTATAGATTCAATGGCCATCGCCTCGTTTTTGAGTCGACGGTCCTTAATGCTCAGGGTCATGCCTTCTCTGAATGACTTTCTCAGGGGCTATCGTGCGCCATTTTGTTTCCTCTACGTATTCGTTGGTAGTCTGAGACTATTCCAGGTACATCCGAACGAGTAGGTGAGCTCACGGGCTCAACTCCAGAAAAATTGCTAACATTAATCCTAGCAAGAGCAGTCCCAGAATTTACCTCCGGATCGGAATTGCGCCCCACTTAGAAAATCCGTCGAGAAACTCTGTGTGGCTGTGTCTATGGGTTAGTCGAACTCTTTGTTGTAACGACGAGGACGGTGACCGGTGCTTGAGAGTCTTATAGCACCGAGAGTGGATCCGGGGGATCCGATAAGACATGTTATGTGACGGTGGCTTGGCGTTTCCCAGTCGCTTGGGTCGAATAGGGCCAGCTCAGTCTACCCTCGGCTACGGGTATGGCAACGTGGACTGAGCATGACAATAGCCGTTAGTTTTTTTTTTTTTCCAACCTAAGCTGGTAGCCTGGAGCGGCTATTCCAGCGTAACCGTGGCTAGTAGGTGAGCTCACGGGGCTCAAACCTGACGACGATGCCAACACGAACCCTAGCAAGAGCCGTGCTTCGCAGAATCTACCACCGGATCGGAAACGCGACCCACTGAGAAGATCCGGCGAGAAACTCAGTGGGCTGTGTCTAAGAGTTAATTTACTCGTCGAGCCCTTCGTCGCAAGTGACGGTGACCGGTGCTTGAAGTACCTAAAAGCACCGTTAGTGGATCGGGAGGATCCGTTATGACGTATTTTGGGCGACGTCGACTGCTTTCCATTCTGTCCGCAGGATCGGGAATGTAGTTACAGGCGGCCACGATGAGAGGGTTCTCGTGTCGTGCCGCTTTATCGAAGTGGAGCCGTTAGTTATTTTAACATGTACTTTTATTGGGATTACGCTGGTAGGTAATACCTACATGAGCGCCAGCTGTTTTGGACCTGTGTGCTTAATGCGAGTTTTTTAACGTTCTCGATAGCGTAAAAGTTAGCTCATATTTGTATGGAATGGGATCGTTTGCCTACGTTTGCCGCTAGGGGCGCTGTTCCAACTGCATACAAAATGGGGCTAACTTTTACGCGCACTAAGCGTACTGGTTATCAGCTGTCCGAACTCCTTACTGGTCTCGGTCAGCTAATCAGTTAAGAATAGGACAGACATGACAATCCTTTTTCACTTTTAATATGGAATATCACAATTTTAATTGGTGAACAGTAATCCTGATTGAAATCACTCACAAGTATCAACCATTCGTGCCGGTCGCCATGGCAACTGTTGTATCCGTATAGATAGGTTACGCTATCAATTATGTCGTGCTCTTTGAGGTCTGCGTCCGCTAACGAGTCATCTGGTAACTCTATATCGGATATTTTATTGTCATTTAACTTAGTACTGCCTGGAAAGGACAAAAAAAATTAATGGCAAAAGGACGTATTAATGTTCCTGGTGGTAGCGAACATTTTAAGTCTATACGAGTAGACACAGGCTTACAATTTCTACCAGCCTATTTCTACTACGCAACAGTGATACAAAATAAAAATAGTAATTGTAATTTAAAAGAGAACCGACTTCAACAAGATAAAGTAAAAATATCGTGAATCTAGTCGAAGGTAATTGAGTATGCATTATTGAAGATAGGTTAAAAACTTCTGATATGATAGATCTTGATAAAATTTGGACGGGGCACGTGAAAAGCCTTGCATTTAAATAAAAAATGATTCATCAAACTCGATTCATCTAGCAAAAACGTTACGTGGTAACTAACACAGGTAAAAAAATCAGGAGAATCAAACTGAGAACCCCTCCTTTTTTTTTAAATCGGTTCACAACACAAATCATAGTACTATGAATAATAAAAGTTTTAATATCAATAAATATGAATATAATAGAAACAACAAATTTCAATGTTCGATTCCCGATCACGCTGTGTCTGTGTGACATGTGTTTTTCTGTTGCTTTAAGCTTATGGATTTTCCCTACACTATTAGTTAAAGAAAATACAGACCTTGATTGCTGTTCGCAATGAACTCTGGATTAGGATACAGTTGAGGATTATCATCATAAATGGAAGACGTGAAGTTTGACACGACCGCGCCGTACTCCGTGTCGTATGACGTGATATCATAGTCTGATCTGTCCTCAGGTCGAGGGTAAGCCTTGTGATGCTTTACGGAGACTGGCTGATATGGTCGGTAAGAGGACTTCTGCTCCTTGAAGAAACCATTACCTGCACTCAAACGTCGAACATTATGTACAGTTTTGTTTTGTTGTAATGCTAAAAATTTTTAAGCAAAATGATTTTTTAAATTATTATTTTCAACTTGTTACTGGTTCTTCGAAACTCACCATAATGTGTTTGTGCAAAATAAAATTGAATGAAGACGACGAGAAGAAATGATTTTTTACGCATCTTCATTTATAATTGACTGCTATCATGAATGATAGACATTATTTATGTCGAATATTCCAGACATATATATTTATTTACTAATGAAAACACAAAACGAGAATGGATGTGGAGGGTATCGAAAAATCAATATTATTATATCGTTTCGTTTTACGTGTTTTAGTAAAACTGTTGAGAGATTTATAGTTTTAGAAATTTCCTGATATTAAGTTATGAATTATTTATAGTACTGAAATATCTAATTTCAATTCAGCCAATAAAAAGTGTAAAATTTTGTAATCAACATTAAGCATCACTATGTACGTATGATTGGATCTTTTTAGCAATACATATATATATTTTTAAAGCAAATTACTATCCTTTTACTGTTATCATAAATGATGATAGCTAATTTTAGCTAATTTTACTTGTATATTATAGGATTTCTATTTCAATGTATTTTTGAAGACCACTTTATCCATCAAATCTGACAAGAGAATAATTTCTTCAAGTGGTGTTCAAGTGTAAGCTTTTTAGCGGAAACAGAGTTGTTATAGTCAATGTAATCAAGGTACTTTACTGCGCGTTAACCATCTGTAAAATAAAATCGCTAGAAGTGGCTTCTTCTAAACAAGTCATTTAACTCTCAAGTATTTTTCACCATTTCCCTAGAGGTTATTTCCGTTTTTCTTGTACAACACTTACGGTGTTGTCCTTTTATACTTTATTTGTTCCGTTTAATTTTATTCAATTTCAGATCTGGCTTGAGCCTTTGTTACAAAAGTTTGGATGTATGAGATATACTCTCGTTGCCTGTCCAATCAACCAATCAAACAAAAAGTCCTAAAGTGTCAGTTTTTGATGTCACTGCTGTCATTTTCATTTACTAAAATTCAAAAACGCAGTTCAAAATAACACGGTCAGATATAAATATACCTAGATAAAATGAGTGCCATATTAAAATTCATCCGTGAAAATCATATATTAGCACTAATTGAGCAAGCGATCGCCAAAAAAAAGTCGAGGTTAAGTTTAAACGGGTTTGAAATCACAGAAATACCTGGTTTACTATACACCTGTTTAGAAGTAGAACATCTGTACTTGCATAAAAACAAAATTAGCATATTCCCTGTTGAGATAACGCTTCTAATAAATCTAACAACGCTTACTCTAGACTACAATAACTTATCATCGCTGCCAACCGAGATAGGGAACTTAAAAAACCTTGTAAATTTGAATTTGAGTTACAATCCATTAAATGTTTTGATCCCGGAAATCGGTGATCTGGAGAAGCTGGAAGCGTTCTGGTGTAATAGAATAGGTTTGAAAGAGATACCTAAAGAGATAGGAAAACTGACTCAGTTAGACACTTTTGGAGCCCGAGGAAATGAACTGAAGACTATTCCTGAGGAAATGACAAGTCTAGCTAAATTGAGGTAAGTCTCTCTCTCTTGCTTCTCTCTCACCTTAGTCCTACTATTGTGAGTCTGACTGAGTTGATTGACAATATATAGAGGGGTGGGCAGGAAGAGGCTATTTTGGTTTAAGCGACATTCTTGCAACTTTACTGGAGAGCCATTTAAAGTTTAAACTTTGGAAAAAAATCAGCTATTTGAGTGGAGTAAACTTAATCGAAGTTCAATTAAATACATCAAACTGTTGATATTAATACGAAATAAAACGCACCTTTAATTACAAAAATAAATTTCGCGTATTAACCGAAACGTCGCTTAAACCAAACATCCTTTCACTCCTCAATATTATTTAACAGTAAAATAAAAAATGCTTTAAAAAAAATTTAGCTTCAAAAAAACCACTTTTTTATTTATTTTTGCCTAATCACAATTGCGGGCAGAAAGTTTTCAGAAACAAAGCATAATAATGCAAATAATAATAATACAAAAGTTAACAAATGAATCTGATGTGTTTTATTTTTCACAGTAGAACCATCAGAATAATTTTATCAAATGCATTTTCTTTGGTTATTGAGATTCATAGACACAATTAAAACTTCGTTAAAAATTATCATTTATGTAGATAGCACAATATTCAAATGTTAACAAACAACACCACACTTTGTCCATGTAAAGTATTCAGAACGTTTGAAATAAAATATAATTACATTAAGATATGCAAAATTATACTTGAAAAGTAGCTTTAATTGTACTATTTTTTTTTGTATTTTGCACCTCAGAACTTATATTATTATTTTTGGCACTGTGTACTTGTTATACACTACATGCGGAACTGAGTTTCTCGCAGGATCAGTGGCTCAGTGGGTCTGAACCGGCGGTAGATCCTGCGAAGCACTGCTTTTGCTAGGGCCAGTGTTAACAACACTCCCAGCTTGAGCCCCGTTAGCTCACCTACATGTCAAGGGGAAGCTGAAATAGCCTCTCCAGGCTATCATCATAGGTAGGGGAAAAAAAGCATGCGGGATATAGTGTGTTTATTAAATTGTCTCAAATTCTGGCTCGAAATGTATTTATTCGTATCTCATCCTCATGACCATTACATCAGAAAATCATTGGATTGAAAAATTTGGTTATCATTATTATTGTTAGTACTATGATAGTACTTCAACTATAATCGCTGAACATCAGTAATTCTATTTAATTCAGGTGTTATATAATATTTCAATAATTAGTGGCGTTATGAAAAAAAATTGTGAAAAAAAAAATCACAAAAACATTTTTTTTTGATAATATTAATGTTTGTCATCTAACATACTGGTGGTAGGACCACTTGGGAGTCCGCACGGGTAGGTACCGCCACCCCGCCTATTTCTGCCGTGAAGCAGTAATGTGTTTCGGTTTGAAGGGTGGGGGTAGCCGTTGTAACTATACTGAGACCTTAGAACTTATATCTCGAGGTGGGTGGCGCGTTTACGTTGTAGATGTCTATAGGCTCCAGTAACCACTTAACACCAGGTGGGCTGTGAGCTCGTCCATCCATCTAAACAATAAAAAATAAAAACTAACAAAAAAATACTAACTCTTTTCTCTTTGCATATTTGACATAATATATTATAGATTTTGAATAGCAGTGTATCTTTGGGTGCATGTTTTTTTTAAACCAACCGCAATGCACCAAATTAATGTATTGCTTCCGTATATAAAATAAGGTCAAGTCAATTATTTTTAAGGAAAAATAAACTAATTCTTAAGGTTTTTCATTGTATGCTAAATGCAATATCGATATCAATCACTTGACCTAATTATATAGTAAATCAGTGCAATATTGAAATTATTTTAAACTATAATACTGGGTCGTGCTTTGTCTTTTTCCCTACTTAATTGCTGGTAACTTATGGAGCTATTCCAGCTACTCATGGTCCGGTAGGTGAGCTTAGGCTTAACCTGAGAAAGCTTACTAATACTGGCCCTAGCAACAGCATTACTTTATAGAATTTATCACTGGATCAGAATTACGAAAATAAAAATGGGCCTAAAAGCGGATTCGGAGGATCCCACAAAACATTTGCTTTCCGTTCCCCGTTGCCTCGGTTGGAAACATAATGTGCAACGGCCACGATAACTAGGTTATCGTGTCATACCGCTTTTGTAAAGTAGCCTTCTGACGCTTCCTTATGATTCCTAGGTTACAAATGTAAATATTCCAATTCGACTTTCAAATTAATATAGTTTTGTGATCGTTATCAAATTAACAGTGTTGTATCGAGAAAAAAGAAAGCAATTTAATTTCTTACTTACCAGATGGTTGACGCTTGAGAATAATCAAATCGAAACATTGCCAGATACGATGGACAGAATGACGGCCCTCGTCCATTGTAATTTACGTAACAACAGGCTAGAACAGTTTCCGTCATCGATACTCAAATGTAAAGAGCTGATGTTCCTCCAATTGAACAGTAATCAGGTAAGTACCAGCACAATTTTTATTTTTTTATTTTTCCTACCTAAGCTGAGAGCCTTGACAGGCTATTTCAGCGTAACCTTAACTAGTAGGTGAGCTCACGGGGCTCAACCCTGAGGACGTTGCTAACACGAACCCTAGCAAGAGCCGTGCTTCGCAGAATCTACCACCGGATCGGAAACACGACCCACTGAGAAGATCCGGCGAGAAACTCAGTGGGTTGTGTCTGAGGGTTAATTTACTCGCCGAGTCCTTCGCCGCAAGCGACGGGTTCGACGAGAACGATGACCGGTGCTTGAGGTACCTAAAAGCACCGTTAGTGTATTGGGAGGATCCGAAATGACGTGTTTTGGGCGACGTCGACTGCTTTCCATTCTGTCCGCAGGATCGGGAATGAAACAGCACTATACACAGCCTCATTTAAACGACCTATTTGTTCTCGCTCGCACATAATTTCACTTGTAGCCAGAGCATACTGACCGTCTGATGAGTGGTCACCGTCGCTCATAAACGTGAGTAATACCAGGGTCACGACCGAGTCACGGCCTCTTCGGTTTGCCAACAATTTTGCCAACTTTGTGAAATCCTACAGAGTCTTTTATTAATTTTTTATTATTGCTTAGATGTGTGGACGAGCTCACATTCCCACCTGGTGTTAAGTGGTTACTGGAGCCCATAGACATCTACAACGTAAATGCGCCACCCACCTTGACATATGAGCTCAAAGGTCTCAGTATAGTGACAACCGCTGCCCCACCCTTCAAACCGAAACGCTGTCTACGGAGATACCAATTATATCTGTGTACTTCTGAGTTAATAGTTAGCTTGTATTCGAATTAATGATCTCGGCTTTTCTTTACGGAGCTTTGAAAAGCGTCTCTAGTTACCGCTTGACGACCCTAATTTCAAAGCGAATATTTCTTCGTTAGATAATAACGATTGGCTTCGCGCCGTTCTCCTTCCGAGAGTGGATTCAGATCGACCCGTAGATACACGCATCCCTCCCCGTGGCAGTTGTATAACTTTCTTTTATTGCTTAGATGGGTAGTTACAACGGCTGCCCCACCCTTCAAACCGAAACGCATTACTGCTTCACGGCAGAAATAGGAAGGGTGGTGGTACCTACCCGTGCGGACTCACAAGAGGTCCTACCACCAATAATTATGCAAATTATAATTTTGCGGGTTTGATTTTTATTACACGATGTTATTCCTTCACCGTGGAAGTCAATCGTGAACATTTGTTAAGTACGTATTTCATTAGAAAAATTGGTACCCGCCTGGGATTCGAACACCGGTGCATCGCTCAACACAAATGCACCGGACGTCTTATATAACCGCCATCTTAGCGATTTCTGCCGCGAAACACTCATATATCCATATCCGCCAGGACGGGACAGCCTTTATGCAATACATTTGAGACTTGGATCTGGTATCTCAAGTCGAGTCGAGAGTCGATGTCTACATTGCCTGTGTCCCATGTGCTTGTCCACATAATTAAACTCGATAAGTCCATTACTTTACCATTGTACCGTGGTTCACTTGCGGACTAAATAATAATAACAATAATAATGTTTGGTTCGAAGTAACTACCAGTTGAATGGAATATTTGAAATGTATTCAACTGATAATTGTTTTTAATAAATGTATAATATCTTTTTTATTTGATTGGTTTTGTTAATTTTAAGTGTGTTTCAAGTGTGTGTTGATACCATGTATCTACACATATGGACTTGTTGTTGTTGTTTGAAATAAAATAAATCATTCATTTAATTGAGAAACAACATCCGTATTGCAGATTTCATCAGTACCGGCCAATTTAGACACGAGTCTCGTACCCGGCTTAGAAATGATCGATTTGAGGTCGAATCCGATCTGTGAACTTTCGCATCCGGTAAGTTTCTTTTTTTAAATATTTATTAATTGCAAAAAGCTTTCAACCTTGCATTGTTACCGCACCGCTGCTATTTCAATTGTACTAGACGTGTCTAATTTATGTATGTATGTAGCTGAATTTTAACTTCCTCATGTCGTCTTTTCGCATTAAAAGTGTACAATTTCCAAAAACATTCGAAATTGAGTTAATATGCGGAATCATTTGGTATCACCAGTATTTTTCTCATAAATACTGTCAAAAGAGGGTAGTTTAGTTTTATTTTTTTATTTTTTTTGTTTTCCTGTATGTTGACTACTATTAACAAAATTAATACATAATTTTATCTTACTTTAAAAGACAGATAATGTAACAACTGGTAAAAAATAAAAAATAAATGTTGCAAAGATGATTAATATTAAAAATACCACGTGTTAAAACTTTAAAACACTCTCCTGTAAAATTAGTAAGTTTTGAGATTATACAGTTTTAATGCGAGAAGACGATGTTTTAGATATCACATCGCTAATGGCCGTTCTAGTGAACGCTTTAAACATTTAGGGCAACCCAAATAGTTTATTGTAACGGACTTGATTTGTAATAGTTATATGTTTATGCCTACCATCCGTAATCGTAAAGAAAATTTGGGGAGCTGCTTGGCTACGTCGCTGGCATGCTCATGGTCGTGAGCGATGATGATTTACCCTCTGAAGGTACAGGCCGGATTTAGGGGAGAACAACCGGGGCTAAAGTCCCGGGGCCTCCACAAATGGGAGGGTCCCCACAATAGAGACTTTGGAAAAAAAATCCGACAAGTAAGAAGTCGTCGTGGCCTAAAGGATAAGAAGTCCAGTGCATTCGTATTTAGCGATGCACCGGTGTTCGAATTCAGCAGGCGGGTACCAATTTTTCGGGTACCAATGAAATACGTACGTAACAAATGTTCACGATTGACTTCCACGGTGAAGGAATAACATCGTGTAATAAAAATCAAACCCGCAAAATTATAATTTGTGTAATTACTGGCGGTAGGAACTCTTGTGAGTCCGTATGGGTAGGTACCACCACCCTCCTATTTCTGCCGTGAAGCGGTAATGCGTTTCGGCTTGAAAAGTGGGGCAGCTGTTGTAACCATACTGAGACCTCAGAACTTTTATCTCAAGGTGGGTGGCGCATTTACGTTGTAGATGTCTATGGGCTCCAGTAATCACATAACACCAGGTGGGCTATGAGCTCCTCCACCCAACACGTTAACGTTAAAACTAAAAGTTGTTAAATACTAAGAGAATCTACGTGGTTTCAAAAGAAATTATTTATTGGAAAACTCGACTGAAAAAAAATAATCGTTCATTTTATTTGGAAAATAATTTGGGGCCAGGGGGCCTCCGCTCCTGTGTTGCCCCAAGGCCTCCAGACCTCTAAATCCGGCCCTGTACCTTCAAGTAGACTGTATGCTTACCTGCAACAGAAAATCCATAGCAAAATGTATTAAATGCGTCCATAGAGTCTTTTCCCCCCAAATCCCCCCCCCCCCCCATTTTCACAGCTTCCTTTGTGACGATCCCGTTTTTGAACACGCCAATTTCCCATACAGGAGCACGCATTAATAAAATACACGGACGAGGCGACGACCCAAACGTCTGACAGTAACGGTTCCCTGGCGTCCGCTATGCCGTCAACCAGCCGCGTCTACGGAGCGCAGGCCTTAGCCCTCAATGCCACCGCCCTAAGGCTCCCGGCGGCGCCGGAACACCAGCATCCTGACCCACTCGTGATAGGTCGGTTAACATTACTAGTGGTAGGACCTGTTGTAAGTCCGCACGGGTAGGTACCACCACCCCGCCGATTTCTGCCGTGAAGCAATAATGCGTTTCGGTTTGAAGGGTGGGGCAGCCGTTTTAACTATACTTGAGACCTTAGAACTTATATCTCAAGGTGGGTGACGCGTTTACGTTATAGATGTCTATGGGCTCCAGTAACCACTTAACACTAGGTGGGCTGTGAGCTCGTTTACCCATCTAAGCAATAAAAAAAATAAAAGATTCAGAAGACATGTCGTATAATGTTTAAAACCCTTGAAAGTCTTCGTAGCGGTTGGAGTTTTCCAAGCGCTATGACATGTCCTTCTTCAAATGAGGCTTGCGGAGAGTACTTATGATAGGCAGCCGCTTGGCTCTGCCCCTGGCATCGCTGACGTCCATGAGCGACGGTGACCACTTACCATCAGGTGGTCCGTATGCTCGTCTGCCTTCAAAGACAATAAAATATATATATAAGGGTAAGATGAAGTCTTCGCCCGTCACGAGATAATTGGAACCGCGGCACATGGTTATTGTGGTCATTTGCCAATAAAAGGACTCGTACGTAAATATTGAGCGTTCATGATCAGACTTATAAGAGTGCAGTCGAAGTGGCTTTCGGAATACGAAAAGCAATGCTAGTTGCCGAATTCCAAAAACTTACATTTTGGACGTTAATAGTAATTATCAATCTCTGCTGTTGCTGCAAACCGAAGTTATCATAAATTTAATTTTTCTGTTTCATCCTGTTGATACCGGTCAGGATAATAGAGGGAAGTCATAAAATTATTGTATTGTCATCGGTCCTTGATAAGTCTGTAAATTTTCAAGTTAATCAGACGTCTTGAAGTCGATTGACATACAAAGCAAACGAAGCCAATAAAAACTTGTTGAAAATGCCAAAATTTGAAGCCATCACTTCTTCCGTGAGGTCTTTGGGGAGTGCACTCCGGACATTCACCCCCTACTTTTTAGGTATTCTCGACAATAGGAACCTTAGGATATCGAACCATTCGCTCTGTACCAAACTATATCCAATGCTTGGGAATGCAATATCAAAAATGCAATATTGATGTTCTAGAAATGGACTTAGATAGTTCGTCGGTGGAATCTTCGGAAGACTGGGAGAACAGCGTTAACAGCTCAGTACTTGACGTTCAGTACCAGAGCGAGGATGATATCGACGATAATGACGTAAGTGTGCATGATAAACCTGCTGATAATCCCATTGTAGGACCACGGGACCACGGCTGGGACTCTGGTCTGGCGTTTTCCTTGAAAATAAAGAGCAAGAAAGAAAAGGAGATTTTCGAAGAGTCTCTGTTAAATGCCTTTAAACTGGTATTTCAATCTCGCTGACAGCTACAAAATTTTCTAAGTAATTACGTACGTAACACATGTTCTCGGACGATTACCGCGATGAAGAGATAATATCAGAAAAATCAAATAGCATTTTTAATTTTAATTTGCCTCATCGCTGGTCTTGTGGTAGGGCGTTTTGTGAACCTAAAATTTTGGTACCGTACTGCCTGGTTCTAGCGAAATACAAGTGCTATTGCGACCTCATATCTCGAAGCGGGTGGCGACATTCACACTGTTATGTCTGTTGGTTCCAATAATTAGCTTATCACCGGATTTGTTATAATGTTTCATCCATTACTGTGCTCACCCCGTTTACCCAAACCCGTCCCCTTTGTTCCGTGATATGGACAGTCTAGTAATCCATCTGACAGGTTGCTGAATTCTTCCAGGCGGTGGGGATGGGCTTACCGAAGCTATCCAAATACGCATCGGTGGCCTGCTAAATTGCGAAACCCAATCGGAAATTAATTTAAGGATCTACCAAAAATAAATGTGTTCATTGTATGATAAGTCCGAATCCGGCAAATTCGTTTCATCCAGGCACATCCCAATTTCAGCCCACAGACCTGTCCTATCTCATTGTTTCCATCCCGTTTTGTCATGCACCATTCGCTCGTACCCCGGACAGTCTAGTAATCAGTCTGATAGATCGCTCAATTCTTTCAGGCTGTGGGTATGGTGTTGCCGGAATTGTCGAAATACGCATCGATGGCTTGTTAAAAGCGCGACGAAAAGCACAGATTAACGGAGCTTATTTATAAAAGAAACTTAAAGTTTTTAACATTAAACTTTAAATTTTAATAAAAAAAATGGATTTTATAAATGACGTATTATAGATATATAGATATTGTATAGTCTCATTCGGCGTGTGCGAAATATGAGGGTATTTGTTTAATGCGTAACTAATGTATACTGCCAAGGAAGGTAGTTGTAAAATCAATTACACTGATACTTGGGTTGAGGTTAGATCGTTAGCTGAGGTAGAGAGCGAGAAACAATAATAGCGAATTTGTTCAATTTAGTACAAACAAACACATCACTAATAAACGAAGCTGATGATTTAAATTTTATTTTAACGAGAGTGTTGAATGTATAAGTTTGAGCTTTATTGCGTTTGGAATAAAGACTTAAATTGCAGACCAGATATTATCAAGGCACTCATTTTGCGAGGCATATTTCTGTGTCACCCAGTCACGTCTTTATCACTTGTGCCGTTTTCGGCACACATATCATTACCATAGTATTATTACGAAAATAAAACGTATTTAAAAAAAAACAGTTTAAAGAATTAGTTGTATTGATATATTAATATACATTTATTATACATGTAGCACAAGTTAAAATAAAACGTAGGCAAATTAATTGTTGGCATCCATGTTTTTTTAAGTGTCAAAAAAAGGCGCCAATCGCGAAAACTCGTTTTCACAATACATTTTTATTTATTTATTTTTACTTGTGCTAATTACTATTTAACTGTTGATTTTATTTAAAAAAAAATATGTTAAAAGAAAATCTTTAAATTCTTGAAAACGACTTCTTTTACGATTTTAATTATTTTGGTTTAAACTTAAAACAATGTGATCGATTGGCCAAAATATTTTTAATGAATTTAGAAGTAATAAATATATACCGTATATGTTATTGTATTGTAATATAGGAATGGAATACGACTTAAATAAGATTATATCGTTAAATATAAAATTGTGGTGATTTTGGGGCGAATAATTATATTCTCGACGAAAAATATAGCTTAAAACATACATTACCTGACGCTCAATAATTTATAGTATTTTTTTTAGTATGTTTTTTTTCTCGATTATATTAATACATAAACGGTACGTTCCGTTTTACGTTGTTGAGCTAAATCGTTACGTCACAATAGTTTGTTTTTAATTGTCTTTCCGTGATATCCAATTCTTCAGTTCTGGGGGAAGGATCATCAAATGGTAATATGGGTATGAGGAAATACGAACTTAGCTTATGTTCACGTACCACCTAAGCGTTGCAGGAATAACATCGTGTAATAAAAGTCTTACATCAAGTATACGGGTGGTAGCGTTCGCGTAATTATGTCTACGGACGCTGGGAACATTAACTTCAGACGGGCCGTGAGCACGTTCACACGTCATTGCAACGAAGAAAAGAAAAAACATGAAAAAAGGAAATCGGTTGAATAAACTAGACGAGAAAATTCTAGTAATTTTTATCATCTTTGCCTATTAATCTGTATAATTACTTAAAATTGTAATGTAATGTCAATTTAAACACTTTATTGTCGTTGTTTGGAGAATAGCAGTGAAGCGAAGTTTTGTACCAAAAAAATGTAGGTAAGATTTAAATTGCCACACCATGCATAGCTCACCGTCAGGCACACAAATAGAGCTTAGTGAGAATTTTTTAACGTTCTCGATAGCGTAAAAGTTAACTCAAATTTGTAGTATGCAGTTGGAACAGCGCCCCTAGCGGCAAACGTAGGTAAACGTTCCAACTGCATTTCCAAATTTCCAAATTTCTTACATACATACAAATACACAATGTGACGTAATACCTAATAATTCGAATATTTCTTTCATTCTTTTTTTTTACTTTTATTCACTTCTCCAAACTTCAAAATTGAAAACGTTTTTTTAATTTATTTTGCTCTTTTTGCACATTGTCTTAATAAATTAAAACTTTAAAGGTTGTATTTTTTTTAATAGTTGTTTTAATTTGAAAAGACATTACATACGCACAAAAACTTCAAATAATTTTTATATAGAAACCTAAATGACGTCACGTCACGGTCACGGGTTTTTTTTTTTATTAATGTAATCCCCCCTATAATGCGAGTTCACGTCCCTCATAGAAAGCGGGGATTCCCCGTGTATTTCTAAATTTAAAACGTTCTTAGTTTGATTTAGCTAATTAAACAAACATATTTCGATTATAGTTTTCTTTCATGTTCAATTTAAAGCTCCTTTAACGAGAAAAGTCGAACGTGAATAATTGTTTATATGACGCGTCATAGGATACATACAACGCGAAACCAATCCACCGTGTTATAGGGGAGATTACTGTATTTTCTAATAATGTTGTTGTTATACAAAGGTTGAATTATGTAATAAAAATATCAAGGGTAATAAAGACTAATTTAAAGAAAATTGTGTCTTATTTAGTTTTTTCACGGCGAACTTGTTTATTTGCGATCTTCAGAGGGTATGAAGGAGAATGATGCACAAGACATTGCCGACAAGATTTGTAGCGGTATTTCAATGGTTTTAACAACAGTATCCACTTACTTTTATCATACTACCACTGTCGTCTATTTCTCTCGTGAATGAGTTTTTATTTATGTATTGCATAGATGGGTGGACTAGCTCACAACCCAACCTAGTGTTAATGGTTACCGGAGCCCAAACATCTACAAAGTAAATGCGCCACCCACCTCGAGATATAAGTTCTATGGTCTCAACTATAGTTACAACGGCTGCCCCAGCCTTCAAATCGAAACGCATTTCTGCTTCACGGCAGAAATAGGCAGGGCGGTGGTACCTACCCGCGCGGACTCACAAGAGATCTTGCCACCAGTTTTTTTATCTACCTACGCTAGTAACTTCGAGAGGTTATACTAACATCGTCCACATATCTAAGCAATAAAATAATAAAAATAAATCCTAAGGTTGTAGTCAAAAAAAAAAACGAACGGATCCGAGATACTTAATAAATTCTCACACACAAAAAGACAATACAAGCAATTGAGTCGTCTATTATCAAAGGCGGCAATCTGACTTTTGGACAATGATTGGTAAATCAGAAAAACGAATTATTGACTTTGTATTCCATTGGCAGTCACAAAACTCTTCGGAACGACATCTTAGATAAATAACAGGTTAACTATTAACCTTTATTTAATGCAGGTTTTGAACCGTATTCTTTGAAGGAGACGATGATATTCAAATAAATCTGTATTGACATATCAATAAAAATTTTTTGTCCAAATGTACAGATTGCCGCCTTTGATAATAGACGACTCAATTATTAATTAAAAACAATAATCATTTATTAAAAAAAATCATTTCAATTACAATCTTTGGAACGATTACAAAACACAGCCTTCAAAATAATTATGAAAATAATAATTTTAGAGCATAGAAACGATATTCATATAAAAATTTGGTCATGGATTGTAAATAATCAAAATATTAATAATCTATTTAATAATAAAAAATTATGTACATGATATATATTTCCGATATATTCCGATAACAATAAATTAAAAAAAAAAGGAAAGTGTCCGCTACAAAAATGTTTTTTTCCTAATTTAAGAAGTTAACAATTGAAAAAAAAGATATAAAATAAAAACATTTCATTCAAAGCACAGTTTTGTCTTTTGTTGTTGAGAAATAAAAAAAAACATTTATTAAATAAAAGGCACATTTTGAAACAGAACACAATTTTACATTATATTTATTACATACATTGTAAACATAAGGCACGGTTATGCAAGAGAGAGCCAGTTAAAACCCGAAGTCAATTAATTGATATCTTACTTTATTCTATATATATTTATAACCAACCACATCATTATTATTAACAGAGCGAGAAATCATAAGACAATTTTTTTATGGATCAATTTCAATTTCTTCATTTGATTGATTAACTGCTAGCAGACATTGCGTTAGGAATGTTTCATGTGATTCCAACCGGAGCTGAGGCTGGACAAAATCAAGATTCAGCTGTAGACAGCTGATATTTTCAAACAATTTTTGCTAATATCACTACATAGTATAAAACAAAGTCGCTTTCTCTGTCCCTATGTATGCTTAAATCTTTAAAACTACGCAACGGATTTTGATGCGGTTTTTTAATAGATAGTGATTGAAGAGGAAGGTTTATATGTATAATAACATCTATTAAATAGTGGAGAAATCAATAATAAATTACAGTTTCCGAAGCGAAGCGAGGACGGGTCGCTAGTTAATTATAAAATAACACCGCAGATTGGTTCTCCGTTGCATGAACACGTTCCGGCTACGATGTCTTCTTCTCTTTCTCTTCGAGCTGCATAAACTCTTCTAGAAGCACGTCGCCTTCAAACATGGAAGGCGACTCTAAAATATACAACGGATTATGTTTTTTATTGCCCTTGTAGGCAGACGAGCATACGGCCCAACTGATGGTGAGCGGTTACCGTCGCCCGTGGACTTCAGTAATGCCAGGGGCAGAGCCGCTGTCTACTAGAAGGCGTAAAAGTGTGTAAGGGAAAAATAATAATTTTTCACTTCAAGCCCTATCCTTTTTATTTTTAGGGCTGGGGGATGAACCACCTACGTGTTCGCCGCACTTAGGGGACGCGCGAGTTATTGGGGACTTGACGGTCCCCAAAGATGTTGGGAGCGGACCGCGGGCCCAAGGATAGATAAGGACCCTACCGGGATCCACCCTAGTCGGCTTGGTATTAAATCTGCCACTGGTTGAAATATTCCATTATGTATACTTTGAATAACCCCCGTCCCATATATATCTGCATCGGTAACAAAGAAAACATAGTGAGACGTATTTTCCATCGATGACCTTAAATATGAAAATAAAGATCAATAAAGTAATAAAAAACTCCCCCCCCCCCCCCCTCCACTCTATATAATTATTTTTAGGGTTGTCTAAAACCAATTCATTGGAATTTAGTAATCGATACGTTCCTACAAAGTTCCGTGTTGTGCGAAATCGCGTTATATGAGACTAGAAGCCAGTACGAATTTGACTTTTTTTTCTATGTATGCTGATAGCCTTGAGAGGCTATTTAAGCTTCGCCCTAACATGTAGGTGAGCTCACGGGGCTCGAACCGGAGTGTTACTAACACTGACCCTAGCAAGAGCCGTGCTTCGCAGAATCTACCACCGGATCGGAAACGCGACCCACTGAGAAGATCCGGCGAGAAACTCAGTGGGCTGTGTATGGGTTAATTCGCTTTTTCTGAATGAAAAATCTCAACTATGGCTGTATGTATCTTGTGTTTTATGTATGTATTTTTTTACTAGTTTGTGTGTTCATAGTGCATAATGTAATTTTAAACAAAAATCTCGGTATCGTGTTGTACAAGTTCCGTGTTGTAAGAGGATTTTGGGGAAGTTTTCTTTTCGCGTTATAGCGGAACCGTGTAGTAAAATACCGTGTTACGGTAGGGTTATCTATTCATAGTTTCTTACCTTCTTTTTCTAATTTTATCTTTCCGATTAATTTCTTATCGTCTTCATCTTTGTCCGGCGTCGTACCCAGTTTACTCTGGAAATTAATTACGCAATAAAATTTATTAATTCTAATGCTACATACATACGTGCGCAACATATATATATACTAGATGGCCCGGAAATTTCTAAGATAAATAACCTAGATACCGACTGCAGCTCCATCTGCCGGACTGATTTGCAAATCTAAACCATTCTGGAATCCACCTCAAGGTACACAGAAAATTTCATTCAAATCGGTTCAGCCGCATAGGAGGAGTTCAGTGACAAACACGCGCACAGAAGAAATATATATATAATTTATGGTACATACGGTTTCCGTTTTTTTTTTTCCTAATTAAGCTATAGCCCTGAGAGGCTATGTTAACGTAGGTGAGCTCACGGGGCTCAAACCTGACGACGTTGCTAACACTGGTCCTAGCAGGAGCAGTGCTTCGCAGAATCTACCACCGGATCGGAAACGCGACCCACTGAGAAGATCCGGCGAGAAACTCAGTAGGCTGTATCTGTGGCTTAATTTATTCGTCGAGCCCTTCGTCGCAAGCGACGGGTTCGACGAGAACGATGACCGGTGCTTGAGGTACCTAAAAGCACCGTTAGTGGATCGGGAGGATCCGAAATGACGTGTTTGGGCCGGCGTCGACTGCTTTCCATTCTGTCCGCAGGATTGGGAATGATTGCTTAGATAGGTGGACGAGCTGTTAAGTGGTTACTGGAACCCATAGACATCTGCAACGTAAATTCGGCCACCCACATTGAGACATGAGTTGTAAGGTCGCATTTTTAACAGTACAACGGCTGCCCCATCCTTCAAACCGAAACGCATTGCTGCTTCACGGCAGAAATAGGCGAGGCGGTGGCATACACCTCTGTAGTGCATACAACGACTTAGAACCACTGCGACCAAACGAAACAAAAGTCAGTTGAATCTCAACGAGGCCAACATCTAAAGATGAATCCTTTAGAGATGTTAATCCTTCTAACGAAAATCTTCAGTGCGCTTAAGAAATAATATTACTTTGATCAACACAACTACAACACACAATAATCAATACAAATTACCAAACAGTTATTACTATAAGTTAACTAATTAGTTACTACTAATTTTCGCAGTTTTTTTTTCAATGGCAACATTATAACAGTAGATTTAACGTACCTTGATAAACTCTGGCAACCCTTCCTGTAGGTGATACCAGCTCAGCGCGAACACGAGCGTTATGAAGAACAGATTAGTGCTGATGCCTGCGGGACAACATTAACCTATTCAGTTCATTGACGTCATCGATGACGCAATGGTTCTGGTCATGCAGCACACACTTTATCTATGAAAGCAAAGACGAAACGATCGATAAAGACGGGTGGAGTTGAGGAGCATGCTGTGTATGAAAGGGTATCCGAGGAAATAGGACTAATTAAGGTGGCGCCACTGTTGCAAATGGTGGAATTTCAGAAAAAGCGCTAAAGTTTATTATGCAGTGTTAGATTCAGACATCAGAAGCGAAACTTAGGTATGGCAACACAAAAATGTATTTCAATTATATAATCACACTTATCGCGTAACTCTGTAGTTTAAAGGGATGGAGCTAATTAAATGATAATNGTATCCGAGGAAATAGGACTAATTAAGGTGGCGCCACTGTTGCAAATGGTGGAATTTCAGAAAAAGCGCTAAAGTTTATTATGCAGTGTTAGATTCAGACATCAGAAGCGAAACTTAGGTATGGCAACACAAAAATGTATTTCAATTATATAATCACACTTATCGCGTAACTCTGTAGTTTAAAGGGATGGAGCTAATTAAATGATAATTATCGTTAATTATAACTAATGAAAGTGAAATTTTGTAGGTGGCGAATGGCAATATGGATCACATAGGGCAGTACACTGCTATATCGATATTGCCACATAAATTCTATTTAGGTGGATTTTTGAGTTACAATTTTCTGTTTACAGCCTGGACACTTTCGACTTGTCCCCTCACTAGACAGTACTCCTCACCTCTACCCTCAATATTCATAATTAGAACTACATTTACGATTTAATCTCGCGTTTATTTTATTAGTTAATTTTTTTTTTACGGAAAAATTCGAGTGATCGGAAATAATATATTGAATGTAAGTTTTAGTGTTGTGAATATAAAAACAATTTTCGACAAGTTGTTTTTTTTTCCAACAAAAGAGAAAATATAATATGATGAATTTAGGAATCTCTATAGCCAATATAAAGGCACTCTGTATAATTTTGAATTTATTATACAGGACGTAAAGAGATGTGACTATTAAACTTTATACCAAAGTTTATTTGTCGCTTTGGAATTCACAAAATAAGCACAGAAAATATTGTAACCCAAGTTAATGATCAAATTGATTATTTAATTTACTCGTGACGATTCAATTTACTCGTGATTTTGGCGTTTACCGTTTAGACAAGAATTCTCGATTAAGCCACCTCATTTCTAAAGATGCGATACGTCATTTACGATGATGAGAAATATTATGTTTCATGAAGGTGAACTTAGTTAATAATGTGATCATACGAACGTAACGTCAATTCTTAATCGACTATAAGCACCACACGCGGTATTTTCTGATATAAGCCGCGCCGTATAAATAAACGAATCGAAAATGGCGTCTATGTACCCGCACTGACAGATGGTAGGGTCAACAAATAAAGATAGAAAAAGTTGTTTATTGTAAATATTTTTTTATTTTTTTTATTTATTTATTGCTTAGATGGGTGGACGAGCTCACAGCCCACCTGATGTTAAGTGGTTACTGGAGCCCATGGACATCAACAACTGAAATGCGCCACCCACCCTGAGACATGAGTTCTAAGGTCTCAGTATAGTTACAATGGCTGCCAACGCCATCCTTCAAACCGAAACGCATTACTGCTTCACGGCAGAAATAGGCGGGGCGGTGGTACCAAAAAAAAACCAATGAGAATGTACTTTACTTTATGCCCTGGCAGAGGGGGAGGTGTCCCATCTGGGATGCAACTTGCGTAGACACTTTTGCTGCCAGTCATCTAAATCGCACAGCTCGAAAGTTAAACTCGAACTCAACAACAAAGTCAAAACTGTAAATTTTTTTTGCGTGCAGTACGCACCGTGTGCGACTAAAGACAGCAATAGTTTAGAGCGAGAGCGCATGATCGCCGCCGCCATTTTAGATTCGTTTCTTTATTGGCGCGGTTTACACGTAATATTTTCAAAGACAATATAATGTATTGTAATGTAATACATAATGTATTGTCTTTAGTACACCGAAACATACCTGCTATATTTTTACATTTTCCAGAATTTCTGTAAATTAAGCGGTTGTGTGTAACGGAAGAGATCGCTTTTAGACCGCCTATTGTACAAATGTATCTATCTGCTTTTTGACTGTTTTGACGTGACAATGTCTTAACGTCTTATAATTCGATGGAGTCGGCTGCACGCACGAAAAAACATGACTCATGCGGCGTTACCTCGCTCGGAGGCGTTCCATTTAAGACTTGAAGTGCAAGCGAGACCGCGCAACGAGCGACAAAGAGGCACAATCGGCCTCGGCGACATCTGTCTCTCTCCTACTTGAGTGAGCGATGCATCCGCGTAAACAGCTGCTTTACAATAATACATTTACATGTTTTCGTCAAGTATGAAGTTCAGTGAAAAGTGAATGTGGTGTCAATTGTTTATAGCAACGATAATTGCGATAATTGAAAATTGAAACCATTCCATCAGTATTTTTTTATGACGTTGTCACGCTCAACTATCGTCAGTAAACCGACTTTACAGACAACCGATTTTTTTTAATGTAAATTGTGTTTTGGTGTGCAATAAAGTGTATTCTCTCCCTCTCTCTCTCTCTCTCGCGCGCGCTAGCCTGGACGCCACCCTGGTTTTCAACATGAACTGACCGAAGAGAGCCGAGAACTTAGGCCAGTTGTACATCAGGTACCGGAGGCCAGTGAAGTGAGCCTCGATGTGTAGCTGACCTCCGTACACTTGCACGTAGCGCGACTGGAGTTCAACGTACGCGTCCGTAACGGGTTGATTCTGTAAAGGCAACGACAACAATACTCATGGTAAAGGTTCTTTTATTGCTTAGATGGGTGGACGAGCTCACAGCCCGCCTGGTGTTAAGTGGTTACTGGAGCCCCCTCTTAGAACTTATCTCAAGGTGGATGGCGCATTTACGGGGGATATAGAGCAGGGGAATAAGATCTCTCTTTTTCTCCACCTTATCCCACTAGGTGGGGTCGGCACAGCTAATTTTTCTCTTCCATTCTCTTCTATCAGCCGTCATCTCAACACTCACTCCTCTCTCTCTCATATCGTCATTCACACACTCCATCCATGTCTTCTTCGGTCGACCTCCTCTCTCCCCCTCTACCTTGCACTTCCATTTCCATACATCTCCTAGAGATGTTTTTGATGAGAAAATGTTTTTGATGAGAAGATGTTTTTTTCAAATTAGTAGGTGGCCTATGACAATCTTCTAAACTAAACCCAATCAATTTAAAAAAAAAACTATCAATCCCTGCTTCTCTTCGACACGAAAGAAGAACAAACAGACCCACAAACAAACAAACAATGACACTGACATTATAATATTAAAGAATGCGGGTAGTTTTTATAAAGCATACATTTATATATCTATACTAATATATAAATCTACAGTGGTTTTTACGGATGTTCCGTTATAACTACTGAACCGTGCATTGACCGATTGACTTGAAGCTTGGTATCCATGTAGAAAACACATGTACTTAATGGATAGGCTAATATTTATATGAGTGTGGGACTCCCTAAACCAGTTGCGGGGGCGTTAATGATGAGAATGTTTGTGGGGGTGAGAAATAAGAATGTTAATTTTAAATGCCCAGCGAAGCGGTCGAGTACAGCTAGTACATATTATTATATAATATTTGTAAATCGTCTTCTTCTTTTTCTTCACCTTATCCCACTAGGTGGGGTCGGCACAGCTAATTTTTTCTCTTCCATTTTTCTCTACCTTGCACTACCATTTCCATACATCTCCTGGTCACATGCATATTCTCTCTACGCATCACATGTCTACACCACGCTAACCGTCCGCTCTATAATTTGTTGATCGCCGGGGCTACTTTCACACTTCCTCTGATATACTCGTAAATCGTGTTTTACGAAAAAATAAGAAGGTGGGAAACTACTTACGGGATCATCATCGAATTCCGTGAACAAATCGACTTGGATGGTCTGCTTCTCTTCCACCACGTCCGACATGAGGAGAGGCGCCATGACCGCTGTGCGGATGTATTCGTGGAGTTTCGACCTGGAACGCAATCTTATTGTTGTCCTCTAACTCAACATGCAGGGCTGGTACTACACGCATAACATACAAGCATACTATAAAACTTTAAAAAGGATGTCCCAAAATTAACATAATATCGTCTTTTCGAATTAAAAGTGTACAATTCCCAAAATTATTCGAAATTGAGTTAATATGCGGAATCATTTGGTATCACCAGTATTTTTCTCATAAATACTGTCAAAAGAGCGTTTTTTAGTTTTAGTTTTTTTTTTAGTATACCTATATTTTGACTACTATTTAACAAAATTAATGCATAATTTTATCTTACTTTAAAAGACAGATAATGTAAGTGATAAAAAATAAAAAAAAGTTGCAAAGATGATTAATATTAAAAATATCACATGTTAAACCTTTAAAACACTCTCCTGTAAAATTGTAAGTTTCGAGATTATACAGTTTTACAGTTTTAATGCGAAAAGACGATATAACATTTTTTTTGTCAATTATCAAAATTCTAGGGTTTTTTTATTGCTTATACGTGGCATATTGCTTAAGGCCACTTTTTAATCTTACAGTAGACGCTATAAACCTGACAATATTATATATATTTTATTTTTAATACTCCTTGATGTTAAGAAATAATCTTAGATGTCAAAATATTCTTGAATGGATATGACTATACGAGGAAGTATTTTTATTAAAAATTTTTGATAAGCAGTTAGTCAGACAGTTAGTATAGTCCTCCTGATCGTTAAACTGTCGCTAATAGGTTTCAGTAGTGACAGGGGCTGACCCAAACTGTTACCTACCGTAAATACACATTTACGAAGTGTACCGTAAGTACACTTCGTAAATGTTTAAATATGTTACAGAAGGACACAAGACAGTTAAACGGTAGGCAGCGAATTGACTCTGCCCCTGGCATTGCTGACGTCCATGGGCGACGGTAACCACTCACCATCAGGTGGGCCGTATCGCCTGCCTATACGGCAATAAAAAAAAACTTTACAAACCTGTATCTTAACATAGTTGAGCGACATGATGAAGACACTAAAACTCCACCCTTTGCTCTCATCTGTGTGCATACCATGAACATTCCTGTCGTGAAAAAATTGTTATGAAAATTAGGAGTTTGATTTTCTGCTGTACAAGCTCTCAAGTTCACTGAATGAGATGAGATCACGTTTTGAAGTTATCGTCGCCTAAAGGATAAAATGTCTGGTGGATTCGTGTTGAGGGATGCAACGAATTTTCTAATGAAATATGTTCTTAACAAATGTGCACGATTGACTTCCATGGTGAAGGAATAACATCGTGTAATTTATTTATTTATTTTTAATAAAAATCAAACCTGCAAAATTATAATTTGGTTCTTCTCAGGACAGTGGCTTTTTTGGAACCGGTGGTAGAGTTAACATTGCTATTTATATTTTGACATTCAACAAGTGTGTTATACTGACATCTAAGTTGAAATAAATGATTTTGAATTTGAATTTGGTAGGACCTCTTGTGAGTCTGCATGGGTAGGTACCACCACCCCGCCTATTTCTGCCTTGAATCAGTAATGCGTTTCGGTTTGAAGGGCGGGGCAGCCATTGTAACTATACTGAGACCTTAGAACGTATATCTCAAGGGCGGCATGTACATTGTAGATGTCTATGGGCTCCGCTAACCACTTAACATCAGGTGAACAGTGAACTTTAACACCAATCTAAACAATAAAAACAGTGTAAAAAATATGGCTTTTTAAATCAACTTTAGAAATCCACTGCATACAATAATCTTATTCTATTCTAATTTTTTTCATTAAATATTCTATCCATTATAGATGTAGATAGAGTATCTGATTGGACTACTGTAAAAACTTTGCCCTTCTTCACCTTCAGAATGGGCACTGTACTTAACTAAATAAAGGTACCAAATTATCCTTGGATCTACAAAATCACCAATTCTTGTCAATTACATTATAGGTAGAATTTTAAATGGCTAAAATACTGTTTGTTTTTATTCACCGAGATCCTTGTTGACATTTGACTCTGGCATGTCCAAAATTAGCCTTATGCGGTACAACTGGCCTGACATCAGTATGGAGCTCTTTCTTGTCAATTGCACGTAGGCATATGGAAAAGAACATATCCCCATGGTTTCTTCACATGGCCTGTTTTAAAAAAACGGTTCAACAATATTTACAACTCTAGAGCATCTTCTAAGCAGTTGAAAATCTTAAAACTATTAATAAAATTATTGTGAAAATCTGATTGATATTTTAAAAAAAAAAAAAAACCAATGATTAAAAACTCCTTTGACTAAAGTATTTTTGTTAATATTTCTTAAATAGTAACGTTACATTTATAAATATTTTTTTATAGATTTCAATCTTTTGATGTAAAATTCTAATTTTTTTTTACCCTACCCAACCTAATTTAATGAACACACTTAAGTAAGAGATTAGGCTCAATGAATAATAGTCAAGAAAAGTTGAAATAGAACTCACTTAAATTGAAAATGAACAGTACGCTGATGTGTTATATTAGGCATGTACATATGATAAAAAACGATATAATTAAATATAGATAGCCACAATATAGCAGTCAAAAATACTAGAATAATCGCAACTTTGTATATTATCTCCTTAGCACTGTTTATACCTTCACCGGTTTTTTTTCTATACCCTAAATATTGATTGAAAATAAATGTTTCTATCGGTTTCCTGACAAAATCTTTGTATATTCTAAAAGGGTTTACGTAATTTATTACAGACATTTCACGTGCAGTACTATAACTTTTGTATTGATAGATAAGTTTTATCTAAATATTCAAGGATTAAGGATAACATTTAAAAATTGACACCAGAATAACCTTTGGACAGTGTAATCGCCGAATTCCGGGTTCAACAAGATATGCGTCAACTGTTGAGTCGCCGGATTCCGGGTGTGAATAGTCCGGAATTTGGACTCTTAACAGATATTCTACTATTATGTTTTATTCTTTCTAACACATTTATAACTGTACCTAATGAATGGACCTTCTCTCTCGCACATTATTTTCGACAAAATAACTGACCGCGGCTGTGTGAATCAGTCTGATATTCGAGCTTCGAGCGGTCGGACGTATAAGTTATTTTCGAATAAATTTATCGGTTTTGTGAAATTTTTCGTAGAGAACATGGAATCGTAAGTATTAATTCATTATATTTTATTAACATGGAGTAAATGTTATTTGCATTTTATGACAAAAACCGTTTTTGAAGCCACGGTACGTGACGGTCACGCCATTTTTTGAACCTAACGGTTTTTTTTAGTTGGTCGTTTTTAATAGAAAAACTAATAAAATCCAAACGATTTTTTGTAATGAGATCAATATTTTAATGAACTTCAATATAAGTATTACAAAGGACATGTATCTTAGTCGTAAATTTAATAATTTCGAATTCAAAGATACGAACACACCAATGCGCCCGGATTCCGGCTTTTTAACAGACCGGGTTTGACAGCCGATGCTGAAAAACAAAGATACGGTGCATAAATTTGATTTAAATTTTTTTATTGATTTTTTTTTGTTTGTTTTAGATATTTGATAATTGTAAGTTTGTATACTTTTTTATTAGCATAGATGGATGAACGAGCTCACGGCGCACCTGATGTTAAGTGGTTACTGGAGCCCAGATACATTTACAACTTTTTCTTGTTTGTTTTATTGCATAGATGGGTGGACAAGCTCACAGCCCACCTGGTGTTAAGTGGTTACTGGAGCCCATAGACATCTACAACGTAAATGCGCCACACACCTTGAGATAAGTTCTAAGGTCTCAGTATAGTCACAACGGCTGCCCCACCCTTCAAACCGAAACGCATTACTGCTTCACGGCAGAAATAGGCGTGGTGCTGGTACCTACCCGTGCGGACTCACAAGAGATCCTTCCACCAGTAATAATTTTTTCTTTCCAGCCAACGAGATGCAGCCCGTGGCCAAGGAAGAGGTGGTCGTGGTGGCGGTCGTGTCCGTACGCGTGGTGGTAGTCGCCACCAAACCCGGCCTTTGGCCTCTGAAGCGTAATTACCCTTATTTTTATAAATTTTTGTTTGTTTGTTTTATTGCACTGATGGGTGGACGAGCTCACGGCCCACCTGATGTTAAGTGGTTACCGAAGCCCAGATACATCTACAACTTTTTACACAAGCTCATTTCATATACAGTCAAAACCGTTTACTGCGACATCGTTTAGAATAACATGTCGGTTATAATAACCTAGAACAAAGGTCCCGTCTGAATGCTATATGACCGCCTAATTAAAAACATTGCTTTAAACAACATTGCTAATACCGACATACCTCATAAAAAGACCACATTTAACTAATATTTCGGAGAATTAGATCTGTGAGAACGACCGGTAAAGCTGTATTGTAAACAATTTGAATAGGTATCCACATCTGTCTTTAATGGCCATTAAAATCAGGAAAGAAAACAATAGGACTTTGTTTAGTGTCGGGTCTTTTTAAATTCTCAGAGACAAAGAAACAAAACATGTGCATGCAGTTACTGTACCAACTTTGAATGATGTTATAAATGAAAAACTTCAATATTCATAAAAATATAATATGAAAGAGCTCCACACGCAGTTGCATGCACTCGCTCCATCTCACTCCCTCGTATTCGGACCATATTTTGCCTTAGCTCTTTACGTGGACTCGTGTCGGTTCGGGACTCGTACTTTCTCTGGTACTTGGTAATTGTATTAATTCTCTCTACTAATTGTAAGTTTGTACACTATTGTGATTGTATTTTCAACGCCAAGACTACCTACACTAAAGAAAAATATTAATAAAGACAAACAATATTTAATCTATAATTTAATTTATATTCTCAATTTGACCACAGACGTCAAGAACAAAAGTTTGACAATAAATAAATAGTATGCACGCGTGTGTGTGTCAAATACATGGTAGTTGTGTAATGTTTTCTTTATTGATTTAATGTATCTTTTGTGCATTATTTAAAAAAAAAATTAGCATTATGCACTTCTTCTCTATATTCTCTATAAGTTTTCGTAAAAAGGGATACAAAGTTTTTGCTTCACGTATTAATATATAGATGCTAATATGCATTTCAGACTTCAATCGAGGCTCATTGAAGAGTTGCCGCCCGGTCGTCCACAAGAGAACCCACGGCACCCTAAGAGGACAAGGGTGCTCCCTCCTAAGGTCGGGAAACACCCAGGGTGTGTATTCTGGTACTTTTAAATATATTTAAGTTTTTTAATAGCAAAACAGTATCTGTAGCTTTATTTTCAGATCGGAGTTATGGAGGCCGGACCTTCCGACTCCGGACCTTCCGACTCCGGACCTTCCGACTCCGGACCTTTCGACTCCGGACCTTCCGACTCCGGACCTGGATGCTTCGGTGCCATCACCTGCCCTGTAACTATGTTATTCAATAATATAACCTATTTTATAAATAAATAATGGAAAATATACTACAGAAAGTAAATTTTTGAGCCATTAAATTAATTAAATTTTTATTCAATAATTATTGGTTAGTTCGAAATCAAAGAAAAACATGAATTTTTAGATTACTTGATTTTTTTATTTTATTTTGTACTCATTTCTTAAAACAATTTTTTTGTAGATATTTACAATGTGGGCCTGGGAGTAGCCGGGCCAGCACCCCGGTCATGGAGTGGCCGGGGACTAGCGGGGCCAGCACCCCGGTCATGGAGTGGCCGGGGACTAGCGGGGCCAGCACCCCGGTCATGGAGTGGCCGGGGACTAGCGGGGCCAGCACCCCGGTCATGGAGTGGCCGGGGACTAGCGGGGCCAGCACCTCTGCCACCGAGCGGCCCGGGCCTAGCGGGGCCAACACCTCTGCCACCGAGCGGCCCGGGCCTAGCGGGGTCAGCACCTCGGCCACCGAGCGGCCTGTGTAAGTATACATTTTTTACACATGCAAATAAACATATTTTTATGTTTTTTTTTTTTTATATATGTTATTAAATATTCTTTCTATTTTGTAGTATCCCTTCGTCCTCTCGACCTCCTCGTCCTCTTCGCGAAGACGAAATTATAGCACTGCTGAATTACGGTAAGTACATTATGACATCAACCTTTTTATCAATACTCGCGAAAGTAAAATACCTTTTAAAATCGAAACCATAACAAATAACTATTTTCCTTTCAGGCAGCGAAGAGGATTCTGACGGAGAGGAGGAAGAAATACTGCAGCCGTCGCTGGTTCCCCGGGCGACCAGGATGTGGCTGGACGAAGAGGATGAGGAAGTTGAAGAGCAAGCGGAGAGGCTTAATATTAATTTGGAGTGGCCTCAACCTCCTCAACCTCTTCGTCCATCCGCATCTGCTCCAGTGGACGTCTCACCGACGTCCACATTAGAACCTGTAAATAAGTTCAAATTTGAATGGAGAAATATCTCAATGCCTCAAATAGAACCTCATTTAAGGCGAGAACCTTTCTCCGAAATTATTGGTCCATCGGTTTCTTTCGCGACTCCGTACGATGCATTTATTGCCATATGGGATCGCGAAATTATGCAAGTCATAGTCATGGAAACCAACATTTATGCACAGCAGCTGGCAACGTTCATGTTGGCGAGTGGGACGATCGGCCCTCATAGCCGGATTACTCGATGGCAAGATACGAATGTAGACGAACTTTACACGTATTTTGCCATCGTTCTGGCTATGGGGGTGGTCGTTAAAAGCCGCATAGAAGACTATTGGCATACCGCTCGGGATATTTTTCATACTCCGGGCTTCGCAGCGGAAATGTCATATGACCGTTTTCAGCTGCTGTGCAAATGCCTGCATTTCAACAATAGCGAATATTGCGACATTACAATGTTGACACGACGCCAGGCCAAACTCTACAAAATTCAGCCCATAATAGACCATTTAAATAGAAAATTTTCGGAGCTGTACAATTTGAGTCGAAATTTAGCAGTGGATGAGAGTTTGACGATGTGGAAGGGCTGGCTTGATATAAACCAGTTCATTCCTAACAAGGCAGCGACAGTTGGGATCAAAACTTATGAAGTGTGTGAATCGCGGAGTGGTTACCTGTGGCGGTTTGAAGTTCACGCAGGCCATGACATCTCGACTTCACAAGACGATCCAATTTCTGGCACAGTACCAGCTCTCGTGCTCAGACTTTTAAGTGGTCTTGAGCATAAAGGGCACACAATATGGATGGATAATTTTTATAACTCTCCAGCGCTAGCCCGAGAACTTAAGACCCGCGGCTTTGACTGTGTGGGCACACTGCGGACTAACCGACAATTTGTGCCGTACGAATTGACGTCCCTTACAAAAAAGGATATGACAGTCGGTCAAGTGACGGGATGCACCTCGGGAGATGTGGATCTTTTGGTGTGGAAAGATAAAAACCGGGTGGCTTTTATTTCCACATACCATGGTCTCGCATCTGTTAGGTTTGAGGAAAGACTGAAGCCGACTGTCGCTTGCGATTATAACGTTTGTATGGGCGGAGTAGACCGCAAGGACCAGCAGCTCGCAATGTACCCCATAGAGAGAAGAAGGACAAGAGTTTGGTACAAGAAGTTGTTTAGAAGGCTCTTAAACGCTAGTGTCTTGAACTCACACATACTACACCAAGATCATTCATTTTCACATCGTAAGTTCCGGACGGTGTTGATCACTCAATTGTTGACTACTCATACAAAACATTCTCCACCTAGCACACAACTCACACCAAGACAAGTGCATTGCCCGGCACAATATGAATTAACCAAAAGCGGAAAATCCGACCGCCTTAGGCGAGCATGTGTCGTCTGCTCCAAGCGGACTAACATATTGTATAGCCTGTAACCAGGCAATGTGCACCTACACCTGCTACGGCATACACCACGCCACACATTGACACTTTTTATACATACACGCCCAGGCACACATACAGGGTATATAGGCACTAGTGTTAAAGATATTTCTATTGCCCTTGTAGCCAGATGAGCATACCTGATGGTGAGTGGTTACCACAAAAAGTTGCGACGAGCATACCTGATGGTAAGTGGTTACCGTAAATAAGTTGGTGGTTTGTTATTGTTACCATTCATATTGTTGCACAGTACTAAAAAAATGCTGCATGTGTTGTACTTTTTTGTTTTTGTTATTTGCCGAGTTATGGCCAGCGTCGTGTCAACAATGGAATTCACAATTACTTATTAAATATATTGGCACATAAATTAAGTATCAATTGGATCTTGTGAGTGTTGGGTTATTGTATTTCACAATTTAATTTATGTGCGATCTTTTAACTGTATGGTATCTAGGTACGATTAATTGCAAGTTACCTAGTTGTTATAATTTTTTTTTAATCACCAAATCACTAAAAAACATGTTTATTTGATCTATCAATCAAATAGGTTCGAAAAAAAAAACAAATAATAATGATTATTTTTATTTTGAATAAGTCCATGAAGAAATCCATACTTGTTGACCATTCGTTGTTATTTTTTCACTATATTTAGGATTTTTTTTTGTTTAATTTTTCTTCCAGATATGTGCTTTTTTTCATTGGAATCAATGCCCGGTTTCATGTAAATCTTGAATAATTAATTATTATAGCACTTGCAAGCATATATTCTGCAAAATCTTAGTTTTTATGAGACACTGTTTTTTGTACTAATTTTAAGTGTCATATTTGAGACGTTCATATTCAAAATCTGTAAAATAAAACAAAGTGTCATTGCTTAAAATAGCTTGGCGATAGGCTCAAATTATTGTAAACAAAAAATCATTTGGCTCTGACGCCAAGAACATAATAAAAACAAATGAGTTACGAGAGCCACTCGAGTGACATTTGACGAGGGTCGTTTTTGTGTAAACACGTGCAGTATAAAAAAAATGTACTGGAACATGTGGCGGTTTGCCTTTTGTTTTATCACGTAGGTTAGTTTGTTTAATAAATATATAATATTACATCCAGCAAGCGTTTTATTTATTTTTTATCGAAAAATGAAAGTTAAATTTGACTACCCCGTATTATTTTTATTAGAACTGTTAGGTGAAGCATTAGACATTACATAAAGAAATCAATCTTCTTGATAAATCCAATTGGAATTCTACAAAATTCATATTAGATTTAGAGAAAATCAGGTTTTTCTAGATCTAGATCTCGGTGTTACTCGGACAGTCCCATCGCCGAATTCCGGTGCCACAGTTGCTGTCAATGTCATTTTGACAATGTTACTGTTGAAAGGTTAACACCACACAAGTAAAAATTTGTATGTTTTGTTTTGACGTTTGAAAATTTGCATTAAAAGTATTTCCATTTTCTAACTGTAAAGGCGAAAGTATCATATTATTATACAGCCTAATATTTTGTATATGTACTCTGTTTTACGAAAAAAGATATGCAAAGAAATGAATTGAATTGATTAATTTAAAACAGTAATTAATTTGAATGAAATTAAATAAAACGAGATGATATGGGAGGAATAGTTTTTTTTTTATTGCTTAGATGTGTGAACGAGCTCACAACCCACCTGGTGTTAAGTGGTCACTGGAGCCCATAGACATCTACAACGTAAATGCGCCACTCAACTTGAGATATAAGTTCTAAGGTCTCAGTATAGTTACAGCGGCTGCCCCACCCTTCAAACCGAAACGCATTACTGCTTCACGGCAGAAATAGATGGGGCGGTGGTACCTACCCGTGCGGACTCACAAGAGGTCATACCACCAGTAATTATGCTAATTATAATTTTGCGGGTTTGATTAATATTACACGATGTTTATTCCTTCACCGTGGAAGTCAATCGTGAACATTTGTTAAGTACGTATTTCATTAGAAAAATTGGTACCTGCCTGCGGGATTCGAACACCGGTGCATCACTAGATACGAATGCACCGGATGTCTTATCCTATAGGCCACGACGACTTCTAAACGACGACTTCTTGTGGTGGAAATTATTTTAGTACCAGAAACTTTGCTCTCTTTTATTTATTTGATACTAATAGAAGACGACTGTGATATATAAACGTTATTTAGTGTTTGAACTATCATATACATATATTAAAGGTAAGTCTCAGTTGTTTTTGGTTTTAATGTATTTGTTAATATAGAAATACATGTAAAAATCTGTTGATTTTGGGGATACTGGGGACTCTCAGGTACAAATAACAACGAAATAGGGGTCAATTTGAATGAGAATAAGTTCAAATGGAAGCGACCTAAGTATAAATAGGTACAGGTTTGTAGTGTAGTCTATGTAGCTATAACAATATTTTTTAAATTTGTTGGTAAGAGTCTGGTTTATTCATGATGTTTTTGTCTAGAACTTTTATTCAAAATTATCAATGCAGTGTTATTTTATTGTTTGGCAAATATTTATAATATCAGTTACGTATTGTTTTCTATTTTTAGGTATGCCTCGCGTGTACGTATCAAAGAGTGCAAATCCTTAAAGAGATATGATTCCTTAATATTAAAAACAGTAATAGAAGCCTATGAAATTAGGAATAAGTCGTTAGTTGAAATAGCTATGCAATTTAACATAAGTAAGTCAGTTTTGCACAGACATGTAACAAGAACAATTGAATCTCAAGGTGGACAAAAATGTCTAAGTAATTCATAATAAAATATATTAATATTTGTTCAGAGTGGGGGTATCCACCTGATTAATCCATGGAATAACGGACACACCTAATCTCTTAACCCAGATAAAAATAGCAGCCCCTAAGTACTTACTAAGAAAGAAGAAATATAAACCGTTTATAAGAAAGCCCGCTCGTTCGAATTTAGGTGCTTACTCTCCCTTAAACGGAATCCTTTGGGACTAGAATAATGTCCACAGTAGCGCGGTCTCCGTCAATGTTCATTCGGAGTTGTCCGATTGCGCTGAACTAATTTTAAGTGATGAAATAGATCTTTGTTCTAATTGTCTCACAACTTACAGGAAAAATCTGTCGCGGATAACTTTCCAAGTAAATAAAAATTTATCATAAGTAATTAAATGTAGTCAAGTTTTAGTTATATATTTTTTATTTTTGTTGTCAATGCATTGTCGATTGCACCTATGATTGAGGTGACATCTGCCATGTATTTTTGTCAGTTTTTCAATGTTTTTATTGATGATCATTTTGTTGGTGCAACTAAATAAATTAATCAATTAAAACCAAGAAGTGCCAGCCCTAGCAAATTTCTCTATTAACACTAATTACATCCCCAATATTCGCAATTTCTGGGTAAATAGGGATAGCGCCTATTTTTGCTTAAACTGGAATGCTAATTGCATAGCTTTAAATTGGATAACAAAGATACCCCCAAGACTCAATCATTTTGATCCTGATATAGCATTTTAAACATCAACAACTACCTTAAAATTGTTCATAAAGTTGGAGTTTGTCACTAATCACCCCATTTTACGGTATACATTACATTAACAAAGTTATGGCTCCGTCCATAACATTATGATATTTTGTTTACTATTTTTTTTTTATTCCAGCTAAGATTTAAAAAAGTCTTGAACTTGGATTTGACAGTAAAACTCGAATTTGCCATTTTACAAGGATTGGAAAATATATAAGACTTGGCTTCGGCCTTATTGAAATTTTTATTTCAGGAAGAAATTATAAAGGTCTTTGCTTCGGCCTTAATAACATTTTTATTTTAGGATATATATCATATAAGACCTGGCTTCGGCTTTTTTGAAAAATTATTTCAGAAAATATATAGAACAGACAAGGCTGTATGGTTTAGATCCCCTTGCCTTTCCTAACAAGGAAAAATTGTACCAAAAAAAAAATATCTATGGCGAAATGTAGAAAAGTCAAAACCATAGATAACACGCTGTCAAGTCAAAACCATGTCAAAACAACAGGATTTGCATGTTGCAGGTTGCACTAATTTGCAGGCACGCTTGATTGTAAAATAATAAATGTACTTAAAAAATAAATGAATACCATGTTTATTTTGTATAAAATAAATAAAAAATCATGCATGTATTCATGTAAAAGATTAGCGACATCTACGACAAATATTTTGGTTAAAGAAAATTTACCTGCCACTGCATACAGACCAGAAATTGTTGAAAAAAACAAATATGATAAATGGGAAAATGCAGGATTGTTCGAAGCCGAAAATTGTAGTAACAAAAATAATTTTAGTATAATATTACCGCCGCCTAACGTAACAGGGAAATTGCATTTAGGTAATCAGTTTATAAACATAACCTTTTAATAAATTAAACCAAATTGTAAATTACAGTATCTCAGTAGATTGGATATCACCCTGCTTCCAATTCCAAGATAGGGAATGAAATGGCTACTCTCCTCATAGACATGTAAGTGTTATATAATATAAAGTAGAATAGCCATTTCTGATTAAATATTTATCAAGATCATAATGTTTTTTGTTGTATACTTAATCATTGGAAGACAATTTTCAATGTATTTTAGAACGGTAGGCATGGTAAATGATCAGTACTAATATGAATGTATTACTGGAGTTAGATCAATAGATATTTTCATTATCTATCACCTCAAAAATGTATTTTTTAAATATGCTAATTAGCCATACACATAATATAAATAAAACACCGTATTTCAGGTCATGCATTAGCATGCACGATACAAGACGTAATAGTTAGAAGAAAAAGATCATTAGGCTACAATGTCTTATGGCTCCCTGGAACAGATCATGCAGGAATCGCTACACAGGTAACTGGAAGGACTTGACGTTATTGCAAAAAATATTTTACCAGATCTATTATGTGACTTTATCACAAAATTACTTCCTCATCCCACAGAGCATTGTTGAAAAATACTTAAAAAGTAAAGAAAACATAAATCGCTACGACATTGGACGTGAAAAATTTATAGAAGAGGTATGGAAATGGCGGGAGAAACATGGAGATAGTATTACAGAACAGCTTCGAACCTTGGGCTGTTCACTTGACTGGTCCCGACAAGTTTTTACAATGGATCCTAAACACACCAAGGCAGTGAACACAGCATTCATTCAATTATTCCATAAAAATCTTATTTATAGAAAAAAAGCACTAGTTAATTGGTGCAATGCATTAAAATCTACTGTGTCAGATATTGAAGTGGAAAATGTACCAATAAATGAACCTAGTGATTTGAGTCTGCCAAATTATATAAAGCCTGTTAGGTTTGGATTGATATATGATTTTGCGTATAAAGTTTATGACAGCACTGAGGAAATAATTGTGTCTACAACAATGCCAGAGACGATGCTGGGAGATGTAGCAGTAGCTGTACATCCAGAAGACAAAAGGTGATTGAGTTTTGGTAAATGTTCTCTTTATTTGCGACTTACTCTTTATTTAGTTACTATTTGTATACATAGTGTTTTAATTCTTAATACAAATTATTGCAAAATATTTCATACCCAATTATATTATTTAAAGGATGCACTGTTGAAATCAGGAAGCATGTTTATTCTCCGATTCTATGTTAATCGATTCATGTGAATGCCAAATATGTCCGTAAATTCTAAATAAATTTATGGTGATTAAACTCTATACTTGTCTATTTTTATATGAATATTGTTAATGTGGTTATTCAAGCACTCAATTTTTGTGATATTTTTTCAATCTAAATTAAAAAAAATCTAGGCTAGGCTAGACTAGGCTCATCAACCTAGTCATAACTGGATAAGATGCCATTGAACTCATATCGAACGATGCTACTGTGCCTATGTTCGAATTTAAATCTGAATAAAACTGTAAACCAATAAAATTTCTACTTTGTACTGACTTCCGACAGTTTCTAATAAGAGATCAATATGGAAGGTTTTATTTATTTTAAGTACTATGACATAAATAGTAAAATGTTTCCATTGTTTGCAGATACCAACATTTGGAAGGTAAAAGGGTTATACATCCATTCAGAACGAATGAAACAATACCAATTATATTCGATAAATTCGTTGATCGGGAATTTGGTACAGGGGCTGTCAAAATCACACCCGCACATAGTAAAGTAGATTATGAAGTTGCTAAACAACACAATTTGCCTTTACTCCAAGTTATAAATGTGGAAGGATTGATAGAAAACACGGAAATATTTCAAGGACTCAAACGCTATGACTGTAGGTCCATATTAGTCCACAAATTAAATGAGTTAGGTCTCATGAAGGAGATCAAACCACACATAATGACATTACCGATATGCAGTCGATCAGGAAACGTAATTGATCATTTACCTAAAGAACAATGGTTCTTATCTTGCACCGAATTGAATAAAAAGGCCAGAGAGTGTGTTGAAAATCGTAAATTGAAAATAATACCCGAAAATTTCATTCAAAATTGGTTTAATTGGACCGATGATGGTAGAGATTGGTGCATTTCGCGACAGCTATGGTGGGGACATCAAATACCAGCTTACATGTGCAGTGTTGATGAACAGCTGACTTGGGTAGCTGCTACCGATGAAAGCTCTGCCAAACAGCAGGCTTCTAAACATTTTAATACTTTACCTGATTTGATTAAAGTAGAAAGAGATACAGATGTCTTAGACACCTGGTTCTCATCGGGAATTTATCCTTTCGCAGCTTTAGGCTGGCCTGATCATGATTTTAGTAGAGACTATACGGAATTCTACCCTTTAAGTCTGTTAGCTACGGGTCACGACATCCTTGGGTTTTGGGTGCACAGAATGGTGATATTAGGCCTTGAATTAACAGGCAAAGTTCCGTTCGAAAAAGTTCTGTTGCACGGTATTGTTTGCGACAACAAAGGCGCTAAAATGTCTAAAAGCCGCGGAAACGTCATAGACCCCATTGACGTAATCGAGGGGATAAGCCTTGACGACCTCAAAAAGAAAAGCGAAGAGATGCACAAAAGTGGTATTCTCAATAAGGATGAACTTAAAAAAGCATATTCGTATCACAAAGCTAATTTTTCAGCTACCAATGGCATTCCAGAATGCGGGGTAGACGCATTAAGGTTCACTTTACTATCGCAAGACATAAAATCGCATTTCGTCAATTTCGATGTCAGCTATTGTCACTCGAACAAATTATTTTGTAATAAGATATGGCAAAGTATCAAATACACTCAGTTGTCGTACGCTAAATTGAAAGTGATAGATTCTGAAATAACAAAACAGGATTTGACTTTTTTTGATAGATGGATTCTGAGTAGATTGGCCAATATGGTCCAAAAAGTCAACGATACAATGGATTCATATGATTTTCAAGTGGCGACAAAAGCTATCAGAACATTGATTTACAATGAGTTTTGCGATATTTATTTGGAGGCGTCGAAACCGGGATTCGAGAATGATAATGTTAGAATCGGCTACGCTCACGCGCACACGTTGTCCGCAGTCTTGAACACGTCTCTGAGGTGTTTATACCCCTTCATGGTTTACATAACACAAGAGTTAATACCAACGATACCGGATTTCGAAAGGAATGTAATAATAAATTTCAAAGACGCATCCGAAAAATTTCTATCATTTCCAAAAACTGAAGATTACGTGGAATGGAAAAACGAAATTATTGAAGAGCAAGCCGAAAAGATATTGAACGCGGTTAACTTAATACGCGAATTGAAAGGTCTATACAGTATTACGAATAAAGTTCGACCTATAATTAATGTGAGAACGGATAATGAAAATCTAATAGAAGCTATGAAAGATAATGTTGATATTATAACACATCTGACACGCGCGAAAGGTTTAACATTCAATGGTAAAGATGACAAAACTTACGTCAAAGGAATCCTGGATTTGAATACAGAAATATACGTGGAATTAGTGGGGGACGATATAGAGAATGCTATAACAAATGCGAAAAATAAATTGGAGAAACGAATAAAGAAATTAGAAGACTCTTTGAATAATATGGAAGAAAAATATTCGAATAGTAATTATTTAACGACAATACCGGAATGGACGCAAGTCCGCGATCACGAAAAATTGATGGCCAAAAGGAAAGAACTCAAGGAATTACAGAGGCTGATCTAGAATATCTTTAAATATAAAGTTAAACAAATATAGTTATCAGTTCAATTTTTTTTAACCTTTTTTTTATTATTGCAATACCATAGTCAGATAAATCAATCTCAGACATGAGTTTGTAGTGTCGAATTTTTCTGACATAGGCAGACGGATGAACAAAGTGACGTCCCATCTGATATCACAATGTGGATTCCGTCAACCACCTCCAGACGTGAAGTTTGTCTTATTAAATAATCTTTCAAACCACGCATGACTATTACAGCAATCTTATTATACAAATGGTGGTAATTATGTGATTTTTTTTTCGGGGCAAAAGGTAGCCTATGTTGCGTTCCTGTTTTCCATAACACATATAAACACACAGCTTCGTATTAATTTATAATATTAGTATGGATTTTGAGGATTGTTATGTTTCATTACAGCAAAATCTCTTTATTCGCAGGGTATATGTTCCGTAAATATGCCGCGAATACAGAATCCGTGAATATGGAATGGTAATTTACATTTATCGGATTATAGGGGATACGTAACTAGATGACAAAATAAACAAGCATTTATAAGATATCTATGAGCTCCGGTGACCACTCAACACCAGGTGGGCCGTGAACGCGTCCATCCATCGTAGAAAAAAAATCACACCTTAAGATCTGAATAAATACTAAATTAGGAGAATAAAATAATTGATACGAATTCGCTCCTCTCCTACGCGTCAAAGTTAGTCTTTAGTTAGCTGATAAAGAATGCTTAGATATAAGGGTATGTTTTCAAATTTACAGCGGCGGCATTCCGTACATATCGCCTATGGATCCCGGTGATTTCTTGGTCCATCAGGTGACCAGTGATCGGTTAAAAACTTTAGAATGATGGTACTGATTGTTAAGAAAAGTGTGCTTAGTGGGAGTTTTTAAACGTTCTCGATAGCGTAAAAGTTAGCCCAATTTTGTATGCAGTTGGAACAGCGCCCCTAGCGGCAAACGTAGGCAAACGATCCCATTCCATACAAATATGAGCTAACTTTTACGCTATCGAGAACGTTAAATAACTCGCACTAAGCACATAGATCACAAACTCAATAATTATACGTTTTTTTATAAGATCACAAAGGTTTATGAAGTTTTGATAATTTTTTATAAGATTCCTTTAAATGCTTAAATTTTTTAAATCAATCAAAAGAAGTATTTATTGCAAAATTATATTTCACGGTTTTACTAAAACTAAATTATAACAAAAAGAAAGACAAACACTATCTTATTTTTTAAATAAATAAAAAAAAACAAACTCGATAATGGGTAGAGACAGAGTGACAGACTGACACCTCGTGCGATTTACGTAACTTGGATCCTTGCATTTTTATGAGAAGTGGTGACTAGAAGCGTTTATGACACGTGTTCCCGCCCAGTGTGCTTAGTGCGAGTTTTTTAACTTCTCGATCGCGTAAAAGTTAACTCAAATTTGTATGGAGTTGGAACAACTCCACTACGTTTGCCGCTAGGGGCGCTGACAACGTTAAAAAACTCTCACTAAGCACATTGATCGGCGAAGGAAGATGTGCATAAAACTGATAAAACCAATGTATTTGCGCAATGTATATCTGCCATTGATTGTCAAACATTACGTGAAATACACGGTCGCATATTACAGTTTGAGGCAAGTGTACACACACCAATATGGGGGCATCGCACGTAGCCGTATATACCCGCTAGTAAAATAGCGTACTATTATTTACGTAATTCAGCTCAATCTGTCTACTTAAAACAGAATATTTTTTTAAGCTGAAAGAACAACTTGCTTAATATAAAATACTTTGAAATATAAAATCTGTAAGTGTCCTTCGAGGCGATTACTACATTGCAAAACATAAGTAGATACAACGCATTATACGTTTAGGTATCTGTATCTCACGATAACTTTCGAATTTCATTACTGACAACAAACAACAAGAATAAACGTCGAACTAAACGAAAACGTATTTACAATACGTATTAACGACTCATATTTGTTTAATCAAATCAACTCATACTTGAGTCGTCTATTATCAAAGGCGGCAATCTGTGCATTTGGACAAAAAATTTTTATTGATATGTCAATACAGATTGATTTGAATATAATCGTCTCCTTCAAAGAATACGGTTCAAAACCTGCATTAAATAAAGGTTAATTGTTAACCTGTTATTTATCTAAGATGTCGTTCCGAAGAGTTTTGTGACTGCTAATGTAATACAAAGTCAATAATTCGTTTTTCTGATTTACCAATCATTGTCCAAAAGTCAGATTGCCGGCTTTGATACTAGTCGACTCACTTGTAATAAATTAGAGGTATAGAACTAGGAACCAATAAATTTATTTTTATGTAGGTAGGTATAAAGTTCATTGCACATTCCAGTGACAGTTGACAGTTTTGTCAAAAACGCGGGAAAAAAGATTAGTTTAAAAATAAAAATAACTGATTTAAGACTATTTATAACTTATTCGCACTACTGTATGCTACCTTTATTAGCACCTCAAATTTTGCTACTTAAACTTTCGTAAAGCTTATCTTCTCGATATTTTCACACAGTGTGCATGCAGTCAGGCGGAAGCGACTCCTGGACGTCCATAAATCGAGTGGGCCAGATTGCTGCATCCAGGCAGTGGTTCTGAAAACGTGCGCCCTTGAGCTGACATTAATAGGGTACGGTCTTCATGGAAGACCGCCCATGGCCACCCTATCCCCAAGAAGGGTGACCGGTTGGACCCATCGAACTATAGGCCTATCGCGATTACATCCTTGCTTTCGAAGGTGATAGAGCGAATAATAAATACGCAACTCTTGAAATATATTCAGGATCACCTGTTGATCAGTGACCGACACTACGGTTTCCGTCAAGGTCGCTCACACCGGGGGTAGAGGAAGGAAGAAAAGGGAAGAAAGGAAAGAAATCATACATACAGCCTCCAGGTCAATGGTGGCTTTTATTAGTGGCCTTATCAGATACTGCAAGTCATTCTTAACTTCTGATATGACGCTTTAGTATCAAGTTTCAATAGAATATGAGTTATCCTACCTTTCAAAGCGTAATATTTAATTGCTTCGCCGCAGTGGCAAGCCGGAGTACCAAGCGTGCTTACAACACTGTCTACTAGTCCTTAAAGTGACAACTCCCAAGTTAAAAAACATTTCAACTTAACATAAAGGTTAAACCATTTATTCATAAATATATATTTCATAACGTTATAGGAAAACAATTTATAAATTTCATACTTACATGTACAAGCAGACAACGTTTCTTAGAAAAAAATGTGTCTTTATAACATTATTTGGCTTATCAATTATTTTTTTAGCCCGGTTAATATAAGACCATAGTTATTCTATATTTATTATTATTTTAAATAAGTTATATACTTTAACATTTTGAGCATGTGTTATCATAGATGTTGATGCCCCTATAAATTAAGTTTGTTTTTTTAAACTGTGGTGGATCCAATCCTGTGAAAATGGTGGATTCAATCCTTTGAAAAAATCATTTGCATTGCTTCCTACAGTGACAAATATACTGATGCAGTTTTTGTTATTTATTGCTCGTTAAGTAGTGAAAGCACCATTCTATATTGAAAAATAAGTGTGCAACGTGATGAAATATGAGTAACGAAAAACAACTGACTTTAAAGAAAATAAATAGATCATGATTTAAAAAATTGATATGAACAAAAAACCTAATGATTTTTATGTTTATTTATGTGAACCTGTCTGGATTGGTATATTATTTAGCATTACATAATGCTAATGTTATATGATAACTTATGTTACTGATAAGGAAATGATTGTGTCTACAACTTTACAGAAATCAGGCCCAGAGATGTGACTTCCAGATGACAAAAAGGTGACTGATTGTTAGTAAGCGATCTATATATGTATATGTGAATTTGGATACAGTTTTTGAGTGTTTAATGGGAATTATTGGAACTTCCAAGTATGGTCTTATATTAACTAAACTAACAGCTTAGAACTTTAAAAACTAAGTTTTCAGTCTTTTTGTTCTCTGATTGGCCTTTTTCCGTTTCGTCACCATTTTTGTAATCACAACTTTCTTGGTTCCCGTATTCAGGTTGGCCTGTTTATCTTGTTTTTTCCTGTTCTTTGACAAAACTGGAAATAATATTTTTTTTTCTAAAATTAAATGTTACTGTTTTAATTTACAAATTAGATTAAAGATGTCTCCTAAAGCAAAGATCACTTTGCTTAGTCTGAGATACAGGAAAAATATATTGCGCTTTTTTTTTCATTGCATGTGACACTTATGAATCATATTGCTTTATAATGGGAGTGCAAAATCCAAACATACTAAAATACCAACCAATATACCAAAAAGCTATAAAATAAATACTACTCATCAAGTTTATCAATCTTAACCGTACTTAAAATTCACAAACTCAGACAAAATCTTACTCATTACGGAATGTATTTATGTAATATTAAAAATTACATAGGAACTTACTTAGATCAGCTATATTGGACTTTTTGACTTTCTGTTCATTTTCATGCCACCTTACATGTTTAACCAAGCAATAAAGAAACTTGAATGTCTGTGAACATTTAGCACATGCATAGATCATTTCACTATTTAACGTTACTCTCGATTTGCGTGAGTTCTGATTGTCAGCTTTATCAGCTGGTTTTATGACACCTCCGGGTAGAATTTCGAGAGTCGGCCATCGATCTGGTGTGTGAGGTATTACATCTAGTTTTTCGTTTTCCTGGAAATAATACTGTGACAATGTTGAAATGCTATTTTATGTGTATGAATTATATTGAAGTGTGCAACTAGTTTTTCACAAACACTAGTGTCTGTCTTTCGCCAGAATTTTGTACTGAGAAATAGATCATTATGCAGAAATATGGGATAAATTCCAAATATTATTAAAGTATGCCAACTCTCTAAATTATATTCAAACAGAAGATAGTTTAATAAAAATACACTCATTCATTCACTATTCTAAACTGAATTATCCACCCAAGTCCATATTGTTTTCCAATAATATAAAAAAAAAATTACTTCTTATTTTTACATTATTCTGCCAAAATTGCCAGATTAATAAGTTTGTTTGCATGACACGAATAATCATATTTTTCTCAAATAAATCATAAGCTAATCAAAAAAGTTGAGGAAGGTTTAATTGGAACAGCTGTTATATATATATGCAAATAATAAACACATGACGTAATCATAATACTCACAACTGGAACTTCTAGTATTTCGGGAACGATAAACTCAGAAGCGCTCTGTTCTGTTTCATCAGTTTGGATTGACACTATACCGCCAACGTTGGTCTGATCATCTCCTATCACGCATTCGTTATCGTACTCTATATGATCGATAATACAAGTTTCAAATATTTCAATGCGCCCTTCGCGCGACGGCTGGACATCCTCCATACGCACTAATCGTACGTTATCTAGGTCTTCGCCCTCAAGAGCGCTCGCGGACATCGTTGTCAAATCATTGGTGTTTCAATTCGAAAGGTATGTTTACGGGTAAATACTTCGGATTCCCGGTAGAACATTCAACGTGTAGATGCTAGATAGGTAAAAGAAACAACAAATATGGCAGAGAATTGTTGATTTTGCCTTGAAAACAAATTTTATTACACTCTTAGTTCTAAATTGACGTTAGTGACAGCTGACAAATGAAACCTGACAATGCTTAGGATCGTAGGCAGAATCGACAGATCACAAGGATAATAACTGTAATTTTTCCCATGGAATTTTATTTTTAATAGTAACTTACTTGTAATTAGTGTGAATTTCAATATTCCGACAAAAATGATGACAAATAGCTATCAGCGTTAATGGTAAAAAAAATGAACTCAACCTCTCTCGAAGTTTAGAAAACTCAGTATATTATCTATTGAGAACACACACAGACCCGGTCCATATGAGCAAACGATATGGAGTCGTCGTCGCCTTAAGCGGATCCTCCCGATCTCTTCTAGTGCTTCTCTAAGCACCGATCACCGTTCGGATTCGAAGTTAAACTTATCCCATAGACACAGCCCGCAAAGTTTCTCACCGGAAGCTCTCAGTGGGTCGCGATTCCAATCCGATGATAGATTCAGGGAAGCCCTGCCCTTTCTAGGACTAGTGTTAATAAAGTTCTCAGGTTAAGCTCCGTGGGCTCACCCACCAAATCAGGCGTAGTTGAAATAGCCCATTAGATTACCATTTTTTTTTCAATAACGATTAGGTAGGGTAAAAAGAAAATGCACAGGAGCAAAAGAAATTCTAAGATAGTTTTTTTTTATTGCTTATATGGATGGACGAGCTGTCAGCCCACCTGATGTTAAGTGGTTGCTGGAGCCCGTAAACATCTACGATGTAAAGATGATATAAGTTCTAAGGCTTCAGTATAGTTGCAACAGCTGCCCCATCCTTCAAACCGAAACGCATTACTGCTTCACGGCAGAAATAGGCAGGGCGGCGATACCTACCCGTGCAGACTCACAAGAGGTCCTACCACCAGTAATTACGCAAATTCTAATTTTGTGGGTTTGATTATCGTGGAAGCCAATCGTGAACATTTGGTACATATTATTCCATTAGAAAAACTGGTAGGTAGCCGCCCTGCGGGATTCGAACACCGTTGCATCGCATACGAATGCACCGGACCATATAGATTATACACTTAATATTTGAGACACAGGGCGTCTTATCTTTTAGGCCACGAGGACTTTAAGTTACCTAGTTATTATGGGGAACATAGTTCAGACTATGGAGGGTAGAGGTAAGGAAAACCGTCTCTGTGTGAAAAAGTGTCCGTTAAAAATTTGCTAATTATGGGTGGCGCTACAGTAGCAACCGGGTAAATTCTAAAAAAAGGCGCTAAAAGTTATTAGAATAAGATAGAGAAATAATCCACGTTTTACCACAGCAATAATTTTAGGTTATATTGACGAAATTAGTTTGAACTACGTAAACATGTAAGGTCTTATATTTAACACTGTCACTAACTACTCTAGTCATTAAAAATTAAATTTCCTAACTCAGCATACCGCAATCAATAACTGCTCAATTCATATCTTACCCTGTATCTATGCTAGCGCCATTTTGGAGGATTTTTTAACTGTTATTTAGTGCTGAAAGTGGGACACTTTTTCAAGCTTCTCCCATATGAGACGGTCCTCCTTACCTCTACCCTCCATAGTTAAGACGTAAAGTTAAATAAGTAGGTACTAAGTAACGTTATACTGGAATGTTACAGGCACAGGAGGGTGGGAGCGAATGACAATCCCAGTAAATTGTAAACGCAAAATTGAGTGTTTAACATAATATTATCTTCACGTTTTGACAACGCAACTGATCATTATGAAATTTTATACACATGTTGTCAGGGGTCCTAGATAGGATGTTGGTTATCTTTTATGCAGTAAAAAAACACTATCTCCAAGGCATTTATTTGTTTAACACAGGAAACAAAAAATTAAATTCTTATTAAAAGGAAAAAAACTGATCTTTTATTTGTGTTTGTTTTATGTATTGCTAACTATAGTTAAAAATTAAAGTGTAGGAAAGTAAAGTTGCATCAACGTCTCGTAAATCTCCACATCGATAGGTAAGAACGTGCAAAATATAATTCTGTTCATTTCTGTATTCGTTTCTAGAAACTTCCTAGCTGTACGTAGCGCTATGTGTGCTGCGAGACGATTCGGAAAACCGTAAATTCCAGTGGATATACACGGAAAAGCGATCGATTTTATTTGGTATTCCTGTTGGTACGACAGACATTTTTCGTAGCAGGATTCTAGTTTCTCTGCCGATCCATCTTGGGGCCCAACAGTGTGGATGATATCTGCAAATGCAGAAAATATGTTATATTATTAAAAAAGCGATGCTAAAAACATTCTGAATTTCTCTTTAATTAGGTACATTACACAACGCTTACTGGTAATATATCCTTTTTTTTTCTTACCTATGCTTATTATAGCCTTGAGGGGGGCTATTTCAGCTTCACCCTAACGTTTGTAGGTGAGCTCACGGAGCTCAAACCGAAAAGTTGCTAACACTGGCCCTAGCAAGAGCAGTGCTTCGCAGAATCTACCACCCGATCGGATACGCGACCCACTGAGAAGATCCGGCTAGAAACTCAGTGGGCTGTGTCTATGGGTTAATTCGCTCGTCGAGCCCTTCGTCGCAAGCGACGGGTTCGACGACGGTGACCGGTGCTTGTGGTGCCTAAAAGCACCGTTAATGGATCAGGATCCGTAATGACGTGTTTTGGGCGACGTCGACGGTTTACCAATTGGAATATATCCTATATTTTGAGCAAGGGAGGTACTTCCACTCTGTCACGAAGCACCTATTCACACAATTTGGAGAGAGAGGTAAAAAAAAGGATTATACAACACACTCCAAATATCAACCTTGGGCTATAAGGTCGGTGTTGCGTTTTGCATAATAATAAAAAATAAAATAAATTAAGAAATCTTAATTGATTTACATTCTCAATTCTACATCAACTTGAACAGAAGTTCCCTAACCACCATATCTCAATTTATTGGTGTATTGAAAGCTCTTGTCAAATGTATCGCGAGTATTTACACACAATATTTTTATCGAAAGTGGGCAAGTTGTGATTGAGCATGTTTCATAAAAAATGGTTGAGGGCCACTTATCTGGAACATAAACATAATAGGACTTGCAATACATTAGATGCAGGTAAAGTGAAGTAACATGAAATTAGCCTTTAAGATGCAATCTACATATTTATTTTAACATTTTTGCACTCACTGATGTTAATAATAAAGTTGAAAATCTTTATTAGATGCAATTTTGAAAATGAGATTCAATGAGAATAGTATTGCAATTAAAAATTATGTTTATTTAGAAGATTTTATTTTATCAGGTTCTTTTACATATGTAGAGAGGAGATGCATGACTAGGAGATGTATGGAAATGGTAGTGCAAGGTAGAGGGGGAAGAGGTCGACCGAAGAAGACATGGACAGAGTGTGTGAATGACGATATGAGAGAGAGAGAGAGAGAGAGAGAGAGAGGAGTGAGTATTGAGATGACAGCTGATATTTTTTTATGATTTAATTTTTTTATTGCTTACATGGGTGGACGAGCTCACAGCCACAGCCCACCTGGTGTTAAGTGGTTACTGGAGCCCATAGACATCTACAACGTAAATGCGCCACCCACCTTGAGATATAAGTTCTAAGGTCTCAGTATAGTTACAACGGCTACCCCACCCTTCAGACCGAAATGCATTACTGCTTCTCGGCAGAAATAGGCGGGGTGGTGGTACCTACCCGTGCGGACTCACAAGAGGTCCTACCACTAGTAAAGATGATAAAGATGATAAATGATAGAAGAGAATGGAATAGAAAAATTCACTTTGGCGACCCCACATAGTGGGATAAAGTGGAAAGTAAGAAGAAAGGGTCCTTTTCATTTAACTTACATTTAGCTGGTAAATTGTAACTACCAGTAACTTTGGCATCTCCTGTTGGACATCCGCCTATAGAATCGCATTCTGCCTGAAATTTTCAGAATTGTATGAAACAGGCTATTAAAAATATTATTAAAATATGAGAGATGCAACAAAAAAGTTTACTACATTTGGAAACAAAAACAGCAATGCAAATTAAACATTCATTAAAATCAAATTATAAACACATTAGTGAAGGTCTCATAGTAATTAAGCCTTGCTTGTTCCACTGCAATACACATATATGACTGCCATCACACTGTATGGTTGCAGGATAGTTGACTACCCACCAATTTGAATATAGGAGGTTAACCACTTCGCAATGGAGAAGTGCAGTTTTTTGACTGGGGAAGTGAACTAGAGATCAAAAGTTCTGTTAATAAAAAAATGAAACCTGTAAAAAGGGACCTGCAGCCCGGTGTATGGCTCCATCGACACCACCTCCAGCCTTTAGTCTTGAATTAGCAGCATTCACAATTGCATCAATCTAAAAAAAATTTTATCTTTTTTGAAGTCCGGTACCAATTTGTATATTTTTTTTTAGTCCTCTAGAATGCGCTTTTAGGAATCTTCCCGTTTTTAAGATTATGACTGTGACTCAGTTTTGTGACATGTGAATTCTGGTTCTGAAGACTTCAAATTTTTTGTCACAAGTCTTACTTTAAATTATATAAATGAGAAAAGCAAATCGTCCCTTTACCCTAAAGAAACTCAGCATTCATATCGACGCTTGAAAGGCAAACGTGACTAAGCGACAATAATTGCTTTGTACATAAATGATAGGCAATAACCATATTCGATGCAAAAAAAATATATAATATTTGTAGGTATATTAAAATCATTTCAATCCTACAGCTAGATTCATTAAAATATAATTTTTTTCAGGTATTTTAAGTTTAAATTAGTCTACTGTAAAGTTCACGTATTATAGCTTAGTCACATTTGCCTTTCAAGCGTAGATATTTTTTTATGGTATAAAAAATCTTTTGTGTGAATCTCAAGTAGTAGGTAGTTCAACAAGATTTGTCTAGTTTTATTTAATGTTAAATGAACAACAGAATTTGATAATGGAACGAAGTGTACTACATTGCAAACATATCAAGAATATTATATGTAATTTATTTTATATAAATAAACTTTTGACGAAGTAACTTTCTAAATAATAATATGAACGTTAATTTCATTTTTTGACTGTACTTTTTTTTACTAGATTAAGTAGGTATTTAGAGAATTTAAAGTAATTTTGAATATCGAACGAAACGAAATCTTACTTCCAGCTTAGTTATGTCTCCTTTAAAAATAGAAATACGCTCAGAAATTGATTTATTCTTCTCTGTGTTTATCTTTATCTTCTCAAACTCCTTCAAATCGTCTGTGGTGCTTTTCTTGGAATCAATTCCTTGACTTTTGTTAAGATATTTACTCCAAGGATCAACATTCTCTAAATCTATGAAATCAGAAGATTTATAGATTTTTCTCTTCTCTTCTAATGAAAGTTTAAGAATCCTGTTCTTTTCTATTTCCCACTTAGTAGAATTAACCATTGTTGCAACGGAAAAACAACGAATTTGTGCTAGAATATATTTCGCACCAAAACTACCCAAGTTACTGCTGCTAGGCAACAACATGTTAGCCATAGATTAAGTTGAATGAAACCAAAGATTAATTTACAAAAATTTGTTATTAAATTACATACCATTAATATTCGACAATTTACAATTCTACAAAGGTATCTTCGATTATATAAATATACCTAACCTAGCCTGAGCCAGAAATTAAATAAAAGCTTATTACTGCAGAGTGGTGCTGAACTGACTAATGGTCTGGTTTCAGTTTTGCACGGTACCTTTGTGCCGACTTACTATACATTTCAGACAGATAAAGACTTTATTTAAGTTACTCTCTCACGTTCTTATTACCTAATTAGTAGTAGACCTGTTCTGAATACCTGTACTGAATTAGTAATTCCCATGGAAACGCCTACCTAAGGAATTATTCCGATATTCGCGACCAAAATGCCGATGATTTTCATTTATTGTTTAAATCGTATCATTTTAACAAACTCCAATGAATTTCGTCCGCCAGAAGCTGTAATAACCCCATAAGCTACCAGCAAATAGGTTGGGAAAATTAATAAATATATTAGCTACCTCGAGTAATTTAGGAACGTTGTTCATGAATTTTCTCCTATACAAATCGATCTAAAAACGATCGATATAAAAACAAAATTTATTTATATCTCGAAGGAGCACTATTGGCCTAAAGGAAGGCAAATATGGACAAATTTAAACCATTATTACAAAAAATATTTCCATTACTATACTATAGAAATAAAATAGATTCAAAATATTTATCTAGAACGTTGATTTCATAGAACACTCACTCTTCCGACTTCAATAGGAAAAGTAGTTTGCTTTCGTTTAGTTGAATCACAAAATAAAAAACCGAAGAGCCCGTCTCTTTTTCTCGTGAAATTCGACTAAAATTAATTATGACATGACACCTTGTAAACTGGTAATACTGAAAATATCCGTCCACATCCGTCAAACTGGCGTGTTCCACGTAATGGGAGTGTGATTTTAGAAGGACTATTTTAGAGAAAATAATACCTTAAAGCGTATCTAACTGTGATGTATTATTAAAAATACCTGAAGGGCATTTTGTTATCGGTTTATGACGACATAAGATAGCAATAAAAACCCAAGTAAGTAATTAAAATCACCAAACAAAATTCACCGGTCTTTGTGTACATATATTAACTTAATTAAAATATTTTTTTCCAGGATGAAGGTCTGGGCCTTAGTCCTGGTCGCGGCATTTGTGATTATCGGCATTTCTGCGGTAGACAAAAATAAATTTAAAACATGCAGTCAGTCCGGCTTTTGTAAAAGGCTCCGCCCTTTCAAACCAGAAAAATCTCAGTATAGTTTGAATTTGGACAGTATTTTGGTTCACGGCAACGTTCTATCCGCTGAGGTGGTTACCATTGACGCTGCGGATGAAAAGCGAACAGTTTTGGTAAGTGTTTTTTTTTAACCCTACTGGATGTGTGCCAATAATTCGAAGATTCTAAATTCGGATTGTAATTACGTTCACATGAAATGACGTGTTGAATGCATAAAAATCATTTTACTTAACTGTAATTTTAAGGTTGCCGTTCAATTAGTTTGCCTTCCCTATCCTCAAACTGAAAGAGAACAATGTCTATTTAATAAATGACTAATTCTATGAATGGCAAAAATGTAGCTTGACTATGCCCTGGTATTCCTGATGTCCAAAAGTGTTCCCCCATACTAGCCATTTGTATGCCATCCATCGAAGGCATATTTTTTCATAAAANTACTTAACTGTAATTTTAAGGTTGCCGTTCAATTAGTTTGCCTTCCCTATCCTCAAACTGAAAGAGAACAATGTCTATTTAATAAATGACTAATTCTATGAATGGCAAAAATGTAGCTTGACTATGCCCTGGTATTCCTGATGTCCAAAAGTGTTCCCCCATACTAGCCATTTGTATGCCATCCATCGAAGGCATATTTTTTCATAAAACAACGGATCTGACTTATTCATTTAATCTTTATGTATCTCTCAATCAAACAGTATTACGACGGTAAAGTGTCAAGTAATTAGCAAGGATCAAGGTAAAGTAATGATTAGTAAAAAGCACCAGTAAAGTCTCATGTCAAGAAAAAAATTTGATGTTCAATATTCAAGAACATTTCTCATTTTTTTTGTTTTCTAGAGACACATCTAATCCTCATATCTTGTGATTATAGATGCTAACCAATTAGCTACAGATTTATGTAGAGTAGGGTAAGTTATAAGGTTTGAGTCGTTGTGGGTTAAAGGATAAGATGTATGGTGCATTTGTATCTTGAGATGCACATGAATCACGCAGGCAGACCTTAGACCATAGAACTTATATATCAAGGTGGGTGGCGCATTTACGTTTTGGATGTCTATGGGCTCCAGTAACCACTTAACACCAGGTGGGCTGTGAGCTCGCCCACCCATCTAAGCAATAAAAAAGCCAGGTATAAATTTTTCTAATGAAATGTGTACTTAACGTATGTTCACTATTGACTCCCATGGTGAAGGAAAAACTTCGTGTCATAAAAATGAAACCTGCAAAATTATAAGTTGTGTGATTACTGGTGGTAGGACATCTTGTGAGTCTCTACAGGTCCGTACCACCACCCACCTGCCTATTTCTGCCATGAAGCAGTAGTGCGTTTCAGTTTGAAGGGCACGACATTGTTGTACTGTAAAAACTGAGAGATTAGAGTTAGATCTGATCTTAGAGATCTGAGTGATAAGTTATGTGATATATGATTTTAAATCAAAATGTGAATACTGGCACCAAACACGAGATGACATCATTAAATCTTAATTTTAATTTAAAAAGCTCTCACATCCATCTATTCGGAACGCATTTTCGTAATAGGCAAAGTTTTCGGTACTCTACAATTTTACTAGTTCCTCTATTGATAATATTCAATAGTTTTCATAGGCTAATTATAGACTCTCATAAAATTAGATTAAACAGGTCGGATATCAGTAAAGCACTAATCATTGACCTAATTAGATTTAATGATAATTATTGACCGCTTCATAATATATTTTATTTATTGATAATGGGCGATTATGGCCGTTCTGGTGCTGAGTGGTTACATAAACTCATATACATCCCAATGTTAATGCTGTCATCCACCTAGAGACATGAGACTCAACTATAAAGCCTATGTCCATACCGCTCTTTCAACGAGAATGCATTATTGTCTCACAATAGATATAAGTAAACTACATTACCTTGAATATTGAAGTCGTCGTGGCCTAAAGGATAAGACGTCCGGTGCATTCGTATATAGCGATGCAACGGTGTTCGAATCCCGTAGGCGGGTACCAATTTTTCTAATGAAATACGTACTTAACAAATGTTCACGATTGACCTTCACGGTGAAGGATAATAATTCCATCGTGTAATAAACATCAAACCCGCAAAATTATAATTTGCGTAATTACTGGTGGTAGGACCTCTTGTGAGTCCGCACGGGTAGGTACCACCGCGCCCCACCTATTTCTGCCGTGAAGCAGTTATGCGTTTCGGTTTGAAGGGTGGGGCAGCCGTTGTAACTATACTGAGACCTTAGAACTATATCTCAAGGTGTGTGGCGCATTTACGTTGTAGATGTCTATGGGTTCCAGTAACCACTTAACACCAGGTGGGCTGTGAGCTTGTCCACACATCTAGGCAATAAAAAAATTGTAGTCTTAACAGTGTTCTAGTCATGACCGCCTTCACGCTTTGAGTTGAAATTAGAAAAGTGTTTTGAGGTTATCAATAAAATCATAACAAACCTGACATTTGAATTGTAGACTGACTAATTAAACATGTAGGCCAAAGTATCTGTTTCAATAAATCCAATAATGACAACATTTGAGGATAAACAAACAAGACATATTTGATTAAAAATACTGGTAATTAAAGATTATTAGAGATTATTTTGCATTAAAAATATATTTTTGTAATTAGCTGTCAAAGAAAAAAAAAGCCAATTGGCTATTTGTTGAGAAAATTGATTGAATGAATTCTTTATTAAAAATATTTATCTCTTTTATCTTGAGTCAATCAAAGTAATCTTACCATTTACATTTTAAATGTACATAGGAATAATCCACTTAAAATGTAGTTATGGGGTTGAGGCTACCCCCGGTAACAACTGGCTTTGTTAGTGTCATCTGATTGTAATTTATAAGAAAAGTGAGTGTAATCTCTACTATATATATATACTAAGTACTACTATACGGAGACAGCCACTAGCAAAGCCAAAAACTTCTATAGGTTGGCAGTTGTTAAAGTTTTTTGTTCACATTGCTCGTAGAACGGATAACCGTTGGGGCCAGAAAGTTGTTGCGTGTGCGAGTGGCGACCGCGTAACGGAAGACGAGATGTAGCGTGGGTAGGCCTTCCACAAGATGGACCGATGATCTATCGAGGTTCGCGAGGATTCGCTGGATGCAGGCAGCGCGGGACCGGTCTTTGTGGCGAGGCTCGGGGGAGGTCTACGTCCAGCTGTGTACGTCTGTGGGCTGATAAGAAAGTCTTTTGTCACCCACATAACCGCTGGTAGCCTAAAAGGGCTATTTCAGCTACGTAGAATTTATTCCCTTTCCTGACTGAGCCCGTGCTCGCCCACTGGAAAAGCCTCCAGGCCCCAAGTAATCCTTCGATCATAAAAAAAATAAACTATCCACCACCGGATTTAAATCACGACTCACTACTGAGAAGATCCGGCGAGAACCTCAGTGGGTTGTGTCTATGGGCTAATTCGCACGTCAAACTCTTCGTCGGAGTCGACCAGATCGATGAGGATGGGGACAAAATATTAAGAATGTCTGTCTTGTGACTAGCAAAAACTTAAAAAATTATAATAATAATCAACAATTTGTTTGCACATTTTGAAGTGTTTTGTCTTGGTTGCGATATTTTTGATTTATGATTATTTATTAGTGGTTCGTTTCTTTCTTTGGTTTTCATCAGTAGTCTATACTAATATTATAAAGAGGAAAGATTTGTTTGTTTGTTTGTTTCGAATAGGCTCCGAAACTACTGGACCGATTTGAAAAATTCTTTTTCCATTAGAAGCCGACATTGTCCCTGATGAACATAGGCTACTTTTTTTATTTTTTTTTTTTTATTTTTTTTTTTTGGTGTCATGTGTCTTTTAATGTTTCCGAAGCGAAGCGAGGGCGGGTCGCTAGGTGTAATATAAAGTTATATTCTAATTATTTCATGCAATTTTTTTTTTATTGCTTAGATAGATGGGTGGACGAGCTCACAGCCCACCTAATGTTCAGTAGTCACTGGAGCCCATAGACATCTACAACGTAAATGCGCCACCCACCTTGAGATATAAGTTCTAA